TTCTTTCTTTCTTTCTTTCTTTCTTTCTTTCTTTCTTTCTTCTTTCTTTCTTTCCTGATTACAGGAAAATGTAACCTGGTGAATTCTGGTTGAAACATTAATACTGAGGCCAAATAATCAAATTGATATCTTTATTTCAACAAAATATTTATATTTAGGTTATTTAATTTGATTTTTAAATATAAAAAAATTAGAATAACTCTCCATGCAAAAATCACAAAAGTCTATAGTTCTAAAGTGGATACTGATTACCACAGTCTCTTGGCTTGGGATCTGGTAACACAGGAGGCCTATTTCTTCATTCTAAGTATGCCACAGTGCCTCCACCCATGTAATTTCTCCATAATAGGAAGGAATTACTTCCTATATTACATAATAGGAAGGCACAGATTTGTTCCAATTGAAACTAAACAAAATAAAACAAACTTTATCAATGCCTTTAAAACTGTTCCTGGAAGTTTTTGTTACCTTGGAGGCAAATATTGCAGATTTCTTTGGCTTCTATAAAGCTTATAGATCTCCTCTTCCTCCACTCCTCTACCTCCTCCTCTTCCTCCTTCTCCTCCTCTTCCTCCTCCTCTTCCTCCTTCTCCTTCTTCCTTATCCTTTTCCTTCTCATTATTCTTCTCCTTCTTCTTTCCTCTCCTTCTTCCTCCTTCTCTTCCTTCCTTTTCTTTCCTTCTTTCTCTTCTTCCTTCTCTATTTCTGAAATTACATCATGAATTTCTATTATAGGAGTGAATTTATATTAGGTTTTCTCTTTTAGGCATTTGAACTCTTCATTCAACTAACAGGGGTGTGCTTAGATTTACACTATAGCCCTATTCATTCACTAATTTCCTAAAAAGTTGATAGGAACTATTTAGCTAGGGCATCTACAGTTTAGGTTTAGAATAAAAAATTAAATAAAATGAATTGACAGTAAATACAGCTTATTTTCTGATATAGCTTATTCTTCCAAACCTAGTTCCAGTCACATGTACTTAGTATTACTTCTGAAACTACTGTAGAAAAATTCTGGCCTTAAAAAAATAATTTATGTATAATTGACATAGGAAACTGCACATATTTATATTAAGTTTTTATACACAATCCCCTCTGCCCCTTGGATCTGTCTTCACAATGAGGATAATGAGCATATGCTTAGCTTCTCCAAGTTTCTTCATTTCCAATTTTTTTTTTTTTTTTTTTTTTTTTTTTTTTTAGACAGGTTCTTGTTCTGTTGCCCAGGCTGGAATGCAGTGGAGGCAGCCAAGGCTTACTGCAGCCTCAACCTCCCTGGCTCAAGCAATCTTCTCACCTCAGCCTCCCGAGAGGTGGGGACTACGAGGTCATACTACCAGACCTGCCTAATTTAGTTTTGACTTTTTACGTTTTCTAGAGACATGATTTCACTATGTTGCCAGGGTAACCACAAACTTCTGGGTTGAAGTGATCCTCCTGCCTCAGTCTCCCAAGTGTTAGGATTACAGGCGTGAGCCACTGTGCCCAGCCCTTTATTTCCCTTTTTCATTTCTCTTTCTACCCTGCCCCATCTCTACTCTATTTTTTTTTTTAACTTTTATGTTCAGGGGTATATGTGCAGGTGTTTTCTATAGGTAAACTCATGTCCCGGGGGTTTGTTGTACAGATTACTTCATCACTCATGTTCTAAGCCTGGTACCCAATAGTTGGTTTTTCTGTTCCTCTCTCTCCCCTGACCCTCCACACAGTGCTGTTGTTTCTTTCTGTGTGTCCATATGTTCTCATCATTTGCTCCCACCTATAAGTGAGAATGTGTGGTACTTGATTGTCTGTGTCTGCATTACTGTGCTAAGGATAATGTCCTCCAGCTACATCAGGTTCCTGCAAAGGACATGATCTCATTCTTTTTTATGCTGTTCCCACTCTATCCACAGTAAGTACTATATCTTTTTTTGTCACTATATTACTCCACATTTTTCAGAAGTTTAAGTGAATGGTACCATATAGTTTATATTTTTTAATATGGCTTCTTTTTTTCAACAAAATTATTTTGAAAATTGTTCACATTCTTATATGCATCAATAGTACATCTCATTTATCTTGTTTGTTCAGTAGTATCCCATTGTACACATTAAATAAAAGTTATTCACTCTTGACAAAATGGCAAGGGGATTTCATTCAAGATCATTTATACAGGTATAGGGGCTACTGCAATGGGGTTTTGCAGTAGTGGAGGGATATTGAGGTATTGGGCTAAATTACAAATATGAAAAGGAAAAGAGGAGGTTTATAGCCTAGGAGCAAAGTAAGGAATCAGTGGATGGAAAATTACTAAGAAAAAAGCCTCATGGAAAATTGAGGATTCTAGCTAAAAGGATCAAACAGGATTCTTATCAGAGGCAAGCCAGGGTAATCAGACATCACCTAGGGGATGTTGGGGAATGAGGAATTTGGACAGATATGGAGGGTAATCAGATATCAAGGGGGAAATTCTACCTAAGTTGACTTAAAAAATATTTTGCTAGAATTGGGTTCTTGGCAATACCCAAGGACAGAGCCTAGCTAAAAAGGAGCTCATGGGAACCTGACTAGAGTCTGGTCAAAGGAGACAATCTTTTTCACATAGACTATAAGCAATTTGTTTATACATTTACCTGTGCATGGACACTTGAGTGGCCTGCCTGCCTGCCTACCTTCCTTCTTTCCTTCCTTCCTTCCATTCCTCCCTCCCTCCCTCCCTCCTTCTTTCTTACTTTTTTTTTTTTTTTTTTTTTTTTTTGAGACGGAGTTTCGCTCTTGTTACCCAGGCTAGAGCACAATGGCAGTCACTGAAACCTCTGCCTCCTGGGTTGCTACCTCCTGGGTTCAAGCAATTCTCCTGGCTCAGCCGCCTGTGTAGCTGGGATTACAGGCACTTGCCACCACATGTAGCTATTTTTTTGTATTTTTAGTAGAGATGGGGTTTCATCATGTTGGCCAGGCTGGTGTCAAACTCCTGACCTCAGGTGATCCACCCACCTCGGACTACCAAAGTGCTGGGATTACAGGTGTGAGTCACTGTTCCTGGCGCTAGCTGTATTTTTAACCTTTTAAGAAAACGTGATTTTTCCCCAAAATTAGTTAAATGGTTTTAAATTCTTACAAGTTCTTTTACATTCTTTCCAACACTTAGTATGACCAGTCTTTTAGTGTTAGCCATTTTACTAAATTCATTTATTCATTCTATCAGTTTTTTTTTGTAGATTCTGTTAAATGTTTTATGTAGAGGATTTAGTCACCTGCCAATAAATACAGTTTGGCTTCTCTTTTCTCATGTAGATTCTTTTTGTTTTATTTTTTTGCCTTAATATACTAGTTAGAAACTCCAGAATCATGTTAAAAAGAAGCAGTGAGAGTGATTACTCCTGTTTTGTTTCTTATTTTATTTCTGTTCATATTTTCTTTTGTGATTTTTTTTTTTTGGTCAGGAATAACACTACATCTTATCAAATAATTTTTCTGCATGTGATGAGACATGAATATGAGTTTTCTTCTTTAGTCAGCCTTTATGCTGAATTATACTGATTGATTTTTTAATATTGAATCAGGTCATATTTGGGACAAACCTAATTTTATCATGATATATTAAACATTTTATTAATATCAAGAACCTAGTTTTTGGTTTTACTGATTTTGCTCTATTGTTTTTCTTTTTTCTATTTTTTTAAATTTCCCTTCTTTAGTTTTTTCTTTTTGTTACCTTAGCTTTTCTTCTAGTTTCTTAAGGTTAAAGCAGAAGTCATTGATTTGAGGATTTTCTTCCTTTTTATGTTTTCCTTGCATAGTAGTTTGCTGGTATACATTTTTATATTCTTAAAAAAATTATTGACAGTTAAGCTAGTTGGAAAGAGTTTGCTCTTTTCTGGTTTGGCTTTTACGATTTGTTAGAGAAAATGAGAACAAGGTTTATTTAGTCTAGGGTAATAATTCTCCACTGCTAAGGCAGACCCTACGGAGTACTCTACTTAGAGTCTCATGAATTAGAAAGTTTTTACATCTGGTTGGTGTTAACAGACATGATTTCTGGACCCATGTGAACTTGGGGACTCCTCTCTAATCCTTTCCCGTGGTGCTTTCACCAGCCAGGAGAAGATGGCTGGTACACATGTGCATGCACTTGCCAGTACTTGACTCAATGCTCCAGGAGGACTCTTTTCAGATACCCACAGTTCTCTCTGCTGAACCCTGTTCTCTTGACCCTCTTGCCCCATGAGGTATAGCAAACCATAACTTTCCAATGACTTTCACTTCCCATAACTTTTATTCATGGAATTCTCTGGGCTCCGTTTCTGTTCCGTGTGTGCTGCCACCTGCAATCTCTGGAAAATGGAGAATGCCATAGGATATACCCAGTATTTCCTATTACTCAGGAATCACTACCTTCCATTTCCTGATGTGCAATGTGTTGAAAAGCCTTGTTTTCTATATTTCGCTGTTGTGTAGTTGTTTTAGATCAAAAGATAAATCTAGTCCCTTTTATCTGAGTGAAAGTAGGATCTTTACTTCTAAACGTTTATTCTCAGACATGTACAACTAGTTTATTCACTCATGCTGTGAACTTCCTAAAGAAAGAACCTAGATCTTATGTTTCTTTATATTCCATATGTAGTTCTGAGAACTTAATGACTATCTGCTATGTGTCTGGTGATTTTTTACTAAATATTAATAAATGTTGATAATCTTCATCTAATATTTTTGGCCTATTCATTTTTGTTTATAATACCAAGTAATATACTTGTTATACAAATTGGATTATTAATAAAAGTATACTTGAAATATTATGTAAACACATTGCAAGCACTAATGACTACCACATTTTAAATAAAATATAAAGCATGTTGTCATAATTCATTTAGTAAAATGTTATTTTTATTTGATGATTTCTATTAATTAAATCCAGCTCATCTTAATCTTTCATTTTCTGAAGCAAAAATGGGTGTGAATGTGTAAATATCTACATATTCATCATAAAAATATGATATTTTATTTTATTTCAGGTGATAGTCAAATCTGGGCCTGGGACTTTCCTCAGTTTGGCTGTTTATGACAATTATATATTCTGGTCAGACTGGGGAAGAAGAGCTATCCTGCGATCCAACAAGTACACAGGAGGAGATACAAAAATCCTTCGTTCCGATATTCCACATCAGCCAATGGGAATCATAGCTGTTGCCAATGACACCAATAGCTGTAAGTTATAATAGAAGGCAAATGTGTATTCTAATTGGATAGCCTCTGATCTCTAAAATTGTATCTGTTTTCTAGTAACAGTTGGATTTTGCTTTTTCTTTAAAAAATGTTTTCTTATTTTTTGTTACTAGGACTGTGGATTTTGTTTTCTTATAGTTCTTAGGAATAGTGTTCAAGATTTTGCTGTTCAATATCTTGAAATTATCTGAAATATTCAAGTCAATTCTATATTGCCTAATTTTCCACCATATTTGGTGGAAACTAAAAACAAACACTTCATTTTTAGTTATTTGTTCTAACAATCTTATTTCACTCTCACTTTTGTATCTTTGAACTTTCAAATCAAGTTGTTTCCATGAAAATTATACTTCATAGATAAACTTTGCATCTGGGCTTAACAGTTCTTTAATCAATGCAGTGCTTACAAAATTGCAGTTTGCAGTATCAATGTGGTTTCTAGTAGAACTAGTTCATGTGATGCCATGGTATCAAATGTGTTAGGAATATTTTATTAGTATAACATATTTTCCAATGAACTTAGCCTAAGGAATGCTCAGATTTTCAAAAGTCCTGAATGTTCCTTTTTAATGATATATTATTGAGAGATTGAGGCAGTCTAATAGCTTACTATTAATATATATGTAACGTAGATTAGGAATTCAATATAAAATGTTACCAATGAAGCCTTTTTATTGCAGGTGAACTTTCTCCATGTGCATTATTAAATGGAGGTTGCCATGACCTGTGCCTTTTAACTCCCAATGGGAGAGTGAATTGTTCCTGCAGAGGGGACCGAATATTGTTAGAGGACAACAGATGTGTGAGTAAGTAAAAAGAATTGAAAAATAACATGACATATCTGTTCCAAATTCCACACACATAACTGAAATTGTACTGGTATATTTATGAAGTTGTACTGTCTTCCAATATTAGAAGCTCAGTCAGGTTGTCTCTGAGCTCTAAAGAAAACTGAGTTTACTGTTCTGCTTAGTTATAGCATCATATGCTAGATAATGATAACCAAAATGGTAACAAATGTTTAACCCTTCTGGGGTAAATTTTCTAGTTGCACACTAGAAAGTGTTGGGACTAGCTAGAGAAGTGTCTGCACACAATGATCATCTGAAAACTTCCAGTTGTGACTTTCTGAATTCAATCAATAGCAAAAGTAATTGAAGTTGGAATAAACTAGTATAAAGGCAGTATATCAGTAGCCTTGCAGTAAAACCACTCACAGTCCATCACAGTATGTAAATGAGAGAGAATGGTTCATGCAGCTTATTTGTAATCATTTCCAAACTGTTAATTAAGAATGTAACATTGCAGCCTTGCATGATGTTTATACCTCCCAAAGGCATTATAACCTTTAATTAGTACCATTACAATATACACTTATTAACAGCTAAGTTTCCAAAACTCTTTTCAAAATAAGTCAGGGTTCAAGTGTTTCAATATTGCCATGGAAAATTAGCAGGCAAAATTTTAAAAGGTTAGTTTCCTTTTAACATTAAGACAATTTGTGTATAAGGTAGGAGAGAAGTATTTTGTTAGAAATTGGTTAACTCACTCTCAGGAGTGTCAAATTTGACATATTTTTTATCTCCTCATCTATAATATATCCTCATCTCATATCTTTTCATTAAAAAATTACAGAGTTGGATATGTCTACATTATAAAAGTCAGTATTTTTCATTTTCATCTTTAGTCTTTTTTTAAATTCTCTTTCCACTGGAAGAATGTTCTTTCTTACATTCTCTTTAATGCAAGTGCTGGGGCATAATTTTATTTGTCCTGAAAACTATTACACCATATGCAAAGTAAAAGAGACATATTTTCTCACTGTGCAAATTGATACGACAACCCAAAAGGGCACCTCTTAGCAAAAAAAAAAAAAAAAAAAAAAAAAAAAGGTAGAAGTTGTTGTACTTAAGACCGTGCCAAAGCAAATGAGAGAATGATGCGATTGGTCAGAATTTTAAATGCAGATGGCCAATTTCCATATTTAGGGCCACAAATTCCCATATTGCTTTGTCACTTAACACTTCTATGAATTGCTTAGGCAATTGCCTAAACATTTTCAGTTTGCCTTTGTGGTTTCAGCTGTAATGGTCTGGATCTGATGCCATCTGTAAGCCTGGAGTGTTAGCCATGCATTAGAATCACTCATGTTTCTTTCACAGGTCACTGCAGGCTAGTAGTGAAGCCATGCCTTTAGTCCAAACAGCAAAGCTTATTTCTGTATGGTAGAGGTCTGTCCTTGCTGCATAATAAATTCAATACAACTGTCCCTACTAAGCTTCTCTCTATTGATGAGAGGAAATGAATCAGGAAGAAAGCTGTCATTTTAAACAAGCACGATTGTATTCATATAGAACTGTAGAGTGATATTGGATTCCTCAGAGCTGACAATCTGTTACAGAGGCAGACAACATCCATTGTGCATTCATATTGAAACTCTGTAGTTCAGCAGGTACATTAGAAAGTAACTCTTGGCTTCTCCTTGTCAAATTCATCTTTAGGACATGAGAATGTTTCTGGCATTTCTGTGTCCTCATCTGAGTGATTTTACCAAGAGCAGTTTATGAATGTTAATGGCAGCGTTAAAGGGGTGAAGGGCCATGTACTAACCCCTACCTGAGGGCAAAGGAAGGAAAACCATTTGTTGTCATAACTGTTGACAAGAAGATTAGGCTATTCTCTTGCATACAACATTGCTAATCTTATTGCAATCTATAACAGAAATAGATATAGTAAATATAATTAGATGAAGTAATTGCTGTGCAGGAGAATAAGGGCAGCTGTCCCACGATGTTTCCAGAAAGAAGCAGAAAACAATATTATTTTATCAAATGAGAATACCTGAGGAAGAATTATATTCATACACCATTTGTTTTTGCATAATGCCAAAAATGTTTTTATCTTTGAATAGTTTTTGTCTATTTCCCCAAAGGCATTAAGATTATAAAAGATTAAATATGGCCTTTTCCATCATAACAAGTACTTTTTCATTGGAAAAGAGACAATAAATAAGATATACTTAAAATAGGCAAAATAAGTCAGGAATGTCAATAGACTTCCAGTAAGTGGCTGAATTTTTTTCTGTACAAAGATGATTGTACTTAGCAATATTAGTATCCTTTTAATTTTTAAAAAATTAATAATATTTTTAATTTTAAATTCTTTGCTACCTTGTCTAAAATGACATTCTGCTTTAGCTAATGGCTGATCAATGAAGCTTAGACTGCACCAAGATAAAAAAAAATCTTTGGAAAATGTTGTTATTGAAGGAGTTAAATATGAAGTCAAATATGACTCAGGAACAGAAAACCAAATACCACATGTGCTAATTTGTAACTGGGAGCTAAACATTCAGTACTAATGAACAGAAAGATGGCAACAATGGACATTTGAGTCTATTAGAGTGGGGAAAGAAGGAGGTAGGGGTTAAAAAACTAACTATTGGTACTATGCTCAGTACCTGGGTGACAGGATCAATCATATCTGAAAGCTCAGTATCATGCAGTAAACCCATGCCACAAACCTGCACATGCACCCCATGAATCTAAAATAAAAGTTGACCCAATAAAAAAAAAGAAGCTTTAGATAAATAGATCCTCTGCTAAATTAATTAAATTCTAGGAATAATAAAGAAATAAAACCTTAGAAACTTCAAATCGTATTAGTGGCTGTTTAATTGAATATTCCTGAAATAAAGCTCGCAAATTGGTACTAAATTATAAAATTAAGCCATATTCTTTCATTAGCAGAGATGAATGAATTCTACTTATCTCCAACATAATTAATACAACTGGATTTAAATGTACAATTGTTCAGCAAGCAATGGGGTGAGTACATACTGGCAAGCAGACAGCACACCCCCAAAATTAGTGAAGAATAAAAATAAGTCCATTGTCCTCAATAGAGACCCTTCAAATTACAGATCACATACTGCCATTATGAGGATGAAACTGACCTGTGGAAAAGACCTTTCAGCACTTTGAGACTCTTCTCTTACAAATTAGGACAAATCACCTAAAACTCAAACTTCTAATTTCTAATAAAAATCCTGATATTAGAAATGAGACTGTCTGACTGTGGTCAGTTGGAGTCCATAGCGTCAGGTGCACATGTTTTCCACTTGACCATTGTCCTCCAGCACTTCATCCTACCAGTTCTGTGCATTTCATGGAGTAGGTGCTGGTCATATATGGTAGCAAGAAAGGGCCTGCTCCTTGGGACCTCCCTCACGTGGATTGGACAAGTGGCTGATGAGAATGATTTTAATAATTCTAATGTTTTCAAACAATATAACTTGCTACTGAGATTTCATCAGAAGATAGTTGGAGAGGAAGACCAGAAGGTTATGAAAAAGTAGGGACTATTCATTTGACTGAGATGATTCATATAACACATTCAGAAATGAGTACTCTATAAACTGAAAAATATTGTCACATTCAAAAATAAGTATTAGTATATTTAAAATATGTAATAGATTAGAATAAGGAAATACAAAAATATTTTCAGTATGTACAGAGCTTATTTAACTGTGTCCCTTAAAAATTATTTTTAAGATCTTAATTCTTTGTAAAGAAATGTTATAAACCATTGCTCTTTAATTTTACATTTTGATAAATTTTAGTTTATCTTTATAATTAAAATTAAGAAAAATAATTGTAATGGTTTCAAAAAATATTTGCCATTGCACAAAAGCATTAACTTTTCTTTTTATTCAGCTAAAAATTCCTCCTGCAACATTTATTCAGAATTTGAATGTGGAAATGGTGAGTGCGTTGACTACCAGCTCACCTGTGATGGCATTCCCCATTGTAAGGATAAATCAGATGAAAAACTGCTCTACTGTGGTAAGTGTCCAATATGGGGTTTGCTCACTTCAGATAAAGTTTTCTGATTCTTTTTACAGTTTTTGGTTTGCTTGTTGCTTGTCTCTGTTTGGTTTATGTAGATAATTTCTTTAATGTCTCTCATTAACCTGTTGATCTAAGGCAATTTACATCGCTTTGCTTGTATTAAAATGAAGTACTTTATTTTCTATCTGGTAGCCACAATATTCACTAAATAATTTCCTCATGGTCCTCATGATTTTGTACCCACAAAATAGATTTTTTTTTTAAACAGATGTGGTCTCATTATGTTGCCCAGACCGGTCTCAAACTCCTGAGCTCAAGCAGCCCTCCCGCCTCAGCCTCACAAAGTGCTAGGATTCCAGGTCTAAGCACCACACCCAGCCAGAAGATGAATATTTTTAAAAGTAGGAGTTAATCCTTTGAAATCCCTAGTAATTCATGTTTAGCAATAGGTTTTAGGCTTACTTTCCTTAAAATGTAACTTAGAAGTATCAGTGATTTTTGGATATTACAGGCTACAGGCAATAGCACATTGTTGGGTTGTTATCAAGTCTTGTTGATTTTATTTCTATCTCCAGGATTAGCATGGGGACTAGTGTCCTTTGGTACAAAGGCTCATTGCCTTGGGCATAGTCCACATCAAACATAGAATTCCACCAGCTATACTTCTGTTAGCAACACCAAATGATAGTTTACCTCTACCCTCAATCAGGAATAGAGATTGACTTTTCTACTCTAGTAAGCAACTGAGATTTTCCTTCATTGCAACAATATTTTTCCTGGAAATTTGTCTTTGCATAATCATTGACAATCATTGTATATTTGATCCAGATTTTTAAAAAATTGCTCTGATATATTTTTAATCCTAGAAATCCAATAGCATTGGGATCATGTGCTATGCAAAATTTAGGAATCTGTATCTGAAATTACTATATTTTATATCTACATTTCTCCTCTATTTCATTATCTGGTTAATAATTACATCTAAATAATTAAAGACAATTTAGGACAAGAGGAAGACAGAATCTGTGAGAGCCACGGACAGTCCTCTTACTCTTCTATATTACATAACACACCATCATTTAAAATGAAAGTCTAATATAATTTCTCCATAATTAATCTGTAACCGATGTCTCAAAGAATTTACCTGAAAAAACATATTCCCTTTAATGAATGGCTATATTCTATACAATATAAAAATATTAAAGCATATAAAATTTTATCGTAATAAACTCACAAGTTTGCATTTACTATATGTTGACTTGAGATTATAGTTCATGTTATATTTATCATCGAAGAAGTCAGTGATATTTGTTTAGAGCAAGAGTTGACAAACATTTTCTGTAGAGGTTCAGCTAGTAAATATGTTAGGCTTTGTGGGTCATGTATGCTTTCTGTCACATATCCTCTCTTGTATACTATCTACCACCCTTTAAAAATGTAAAAACCATTCTAAGTTCAAGAACCATACAAAAATAGTCTCAGAAGATAGAGCTGGCCTATGGGCAATAGTATGCCAACCCCTGCTGTAGATTATGGGCTTTGGACTCACATCAGAGGATAAATCTTTGTTCCCAAACCTGCTAATATAACTAGCCTAGTACGCAAACCCTAATGTGACTACGGTAAGCAACATAACTCACTTCTCTATGTTTTAGTTTTCTGCTATGAAACAAGTAGCTCTTATGGTAGTTGACAGCATTAAACCACTGAGTATTTATCTACATATACTCAATATAGAGCCTGGGGCAAAGCTGGCCTTTAATGCATTGCAGTTATTATTATTGTCAGTGGTAGCTTCTGCCCCTATCAGAGAATGTCAAGAAGCCTTCATAATGGCAATAGAACTCAGAAGGTAATTCTTTTTCAGGGAATTCTGTAGATAAGCTGATTTTTACGAGAAATTTACTGATACTTAGATGACTCCATGAGACACTGATTTGGGAATACATGCTTTGTTGTTTTTTATCCTTGTTATAAAATCCTTACTGATAGATGCAAAGGATATAGGAAACGGATGTTGGAGTGTTTCTGTTACTTTTTATTTCTTTAGTTCTGACTATTTATTTCTTTAGAATTGAATATGTGATGTATGTTTATTTCTGTGCTACTCGACAGAAGTACCAGAAACATTAACGTGGGTATAACTTGGAAAGATCTCCAGGCATGAATCACTAAAGTTAAAATGCTAAGCCAAAAAGGGCCCTTGCTGAATGAACTGCTCTTTAACAATATGTAAACATTCTAATCCAGAGCTTTTATAAAGAACAGCACTTGTTTTATAGATCTATAATCCAGTCATTATGAATGAAATATTATCTGTGATTTTCATTTTGTACAAACACTTCTATATGATCTCTGGTTATGAGTTTCTACTTTTATTTATAAGAAAACAGAAACTGTCGAAGAGGCTTCAAACCTTGCTATAATCGCCGTTGCATTCCACTTGGCAAATTATGTGATGGAGAAAATGACTGTGGAGACAACTCTGATGAATTAGATTGTAAAGGTAAATACTTGTTCCATCAGTCTAGGAGTATTGATGTGCTAAGTGTTTCCTGAACTTTCCCAACATTTGTTTCTGAGAGTTCTATGGTATATAACACCTAGTAACACCTATGGATCACACTTTGGTAAATGCTGTTAGAATGGGGTCACTGAAGTTACTTGAAAGTTGTGACTATGTTCTCTGTTTTCTACTCCTTTGCTCACTTTAAAACTCTTATAATTCTTCACCTCTTCAGTTCTACCTTCCTGGATTTGAACATTTCTACCAGAATGTGTAATATTGAATTTTCTGCTCCAAAAATGTTCCCCTTTATTCCTTAGTTCTCTGTTTTACCTGTGATCACATACTCCTAACCACGGGACAGGAAACCTTGATGGTCTCCTTAATTTCTCCTTCCCACACATCCAATCATCAACACATCTTCCAGTTCTTTAAAATAACTTCCATTTCAATCCACTTTAAGCCTGAATTAACAGAGTATCCCTCTACCTGGTTTCCCTGCCTGTACTTTTTGCAGTTCATTCCTATGTCATGAGTCATGCTAATACTGTTTAACATTTTCCCAAAGTGACTATTGGGATAGATGATCACACCAAACTACCTGAGTTAGAAAAAACTTCAGACCCAACACTTACTGTCTAAATTGGATGTGACACTTAAGTAATCTGCGTCTCAGGTTCCCAAACAGCAAGGTAGGAAAAATAATTAAATGAGAATAACAGTATTAAATAAGCTTAGGAAAGTATTATTTGGCAATAATGAATGCTATGTTAGCACTGGCTGTAAAATATGTATATTGCACTGATAAAGAAAACTTTAATGGAATGCCAGTGTTTGCAGAATAATTGTTAAGTTTTCGTCTGACGTTGAAAGCCTTCTTAAATCTGGACCCAACAGATATTTCCAAAACATTATCACTTTAATGTCTTTGCATTCAATGAACACACTTTATGGAGTGCAATTCATTAAGGATTGAGACACAAAATTCATGAGACATGTGCCTGTACTCAATAATATCAAACTCTAACTCTAAGACAGCCATGCAAACAGATGAAGATATCTATAAGGTGCTGTGACTGCACACATCAAAACACCATATGTATTTTTTGTTTTTGGCTTGGAGGTATCTTCAAAGGTTTCACAGACTATACTGAATTTAAAGTGAGTTTTAAACTAAAAATAAGGTAGAATCAATGAAACAAAAGAGAATTCCAAGTAGAGAGACTAGCATTGAAAGTGAAAGTAATCTGATATAGTCAGACACAGATTGCATATAAGAGAGGTAAAAACAGAGAAGGTACAGGAAGGAGCCAGGGCATGAAGGTGCAATTTGTGCCATGTGAAGTAACTCAGACTTTACCTTGTAGTCACCAGAGAGTCACTGAAGATTTAAAGCAGGCCAAATATAATCAAATTTACATTGCAAATAGGAAAGAAAAGAATAGGATTGTGTTAATGAAACCTATAATAATATTTGTTTGTGTGGGAATGAGGATAAGACAGTAAGGATAGTTTGCATTCTGAGGTTGCAAACTATCAGATGTCTTGAAGACATCTGAATGAAGCTGTTTCACAGGCTTGTATATAGGTAGAGATTTGGAACTCAGGTATTAGATGTTGATCAGAAGTATTGATTTGGGACACATTAAGGAGGAAAAAAACTCAGAGGAGGTGTGGAGTAGATTTGGGACACATTAAGGAGGAAAAAAACTCAGAGGAGGTGTGGAGTAATGACTGCATTAGTAGAGTGTATCACTCTACTAATTGAAATAACAAATTATATATGAAAATGAGAAGTTTCCTGCAAGGCTCATAGAAAGATCCATTTAAGAAATCATTTTATCAAGAAAGGAGGATCATTCAGCATTTTCAAGCACTACAGAAAGGGCAAGAGGGCAGGCATGAACTGGAGGTAGCCATTGTATCTGGAAAATAGTAGATACTTTCTTGATTAAATTCATTGGTGTTGGTTCAGTGGAATAGTAGGGTAAGGTAAGAGCATATTGGGTTAAGGCAGAAAATGGGTGGTGAGAGAATAAAGACGGCAAATATAGATTGCTTTTAGGAAAGATTGATGGTAAAGGAAAGGTATGAAGTACAGTTGTATGAGAGGTCTATGCAGAGTTGAGGAAGAGGGCAGAATGTGTGCAAATTACTTTGTAGCTTTATGGAATGTGGGAAAGTTACTCTGCCATCTTAGTGTGGCTTTGGGGAAACACATAGATTATCATTTAAGTTTGGCACTGTAGTTTAGAAAGAGCCAATTACATTTGCCAATTTAGTTACCTATTATACTATACAGAAAAGATTAAAAATTGTAAAATATAGTCAGATACTGGAAGTAGGTAGAGGGAAATAAATTAACATTTGTAAGAAAGGAGGAGAAGAAATGAGAAGACCTAGAAATGGATATGTTCTGTCAATTATTTGTAAGCAGGAGAGGAAAATATAATATAGGCATTAAGCCAGGTTAAAGGTAAAGCTATCAAGAGATAATGTGCAGAAACTGAGCAATAAATACAGAAAATAGATTTTAGGCAAGATTCATCAAAAGAAACCATGGGAAGTTAATATGTTACTATGAGTTTTCTCCAGAAATGAAAGTGTATTTTCAAAAGTGGTAAGTAAATTAGTCAGTTTGTTTGGGTTTATGAAATATAGTACCTCATAAGTGGTAGGTGTTTATTAAATTCTTATGTGGCTGCTTGAAGCAGTAAGTCTTCTAAAATATAGATTGATTTTTTTTCTGCCTAATGATATCAGTATCAGCTGAGCTGCTGAATAACAATAAAATAACTCAAAATGTTATTTCTTATTTTTTAGTCTAAACTCTTGATTTCCGTGTTATAACTTTCTCAGCCATACTCTTGGGCACAGAACAGTGCCTTAGTGAATGAATATTCTACCATAACCTTCTTTTAAGATAAAATTATAACAGTTGGATATCTTAAAAATAAACAGGCAAAAATCTTTGCCTTAAAGTTGATTGTGTTGAATCCAGGGCATCTGAAATTAAAATTGCTGATGATAACACAAGCATACACTTTATTATTTACTAGAAATTAATGAATTTAATTCAATGGACTAGCTCCTTTAAGATAAACAAATGGGTAGCTATTTAGATGAAGGATTACTCTTAATTGAATCTTTTAGTTTGGATTTTTCTCTCATTTTGTTAACATAGTGTCCTTGTGGAGTACCTTTCAAGCTGTAGAATAAGACTTCCCTGGCTCCATATTCCATAAACCAGGATGTCTGATAAACACCAATATTAATCAAATGTTTTTCCACCAAATATCTCCCTTGTAGTACATAAAAGATGATAAAGGAAAAGGTATAGATAAGAGCTCAAGGAGAATGAACAGAGGTCTCTTTCCAAGCCCTTTCTTCCAGTTACCCCTTCTCTCTTTCTATTGTCAGTGCAATGTTGAGATGTAGTGCATTTTTGAGCATAGATGCAGGCATGCAAATCATCTATCACCTTTTAATCAAAACAAGACATAAAAGATAAAGTGATATAATTGGAAGTCAGTATAAACTAGGAAATTTTGATAGACTGGGGTAAGAGACTATGGAGGAGCCATATGTAAATTATCTGAAGTATATAAAAAATTATATACTTTGCTGAATTTAGATGTCGGTAGTAATTATTACTTTTTCAAAAAAAATCACAAGGGCAGAGAGTCTATTTACAGAGTAGAAAGGGTGTTGCAATGAATTGCTTTTGGTTTCCTCTCTTTTGAGGGAAAAGAATAATGCCAAATCTTCAACGTTTTTAAATTTACTGCCTTTTATAGAGGTCCTTTCATGACTGAGTTTTAGATGTCAGGTCATTTGAAGGTGGGGAGATGAGGCGTTGTTCATAAGTTTGTCATTTTGTACTCCTCTTCAGGTTGCATGGCACGTTGAGTGAATATATTCAGGGAGAGTGCACGATAGGCTTCCTTCCCTGTTGCGACGTGTATAAACTGCTCCCTTTAGGAAGTACATGAAATTCCTTGGGCCACTGAAGTACTTTTAGGTAGGCTGGGGAGCTAGCAGTTATGCTGCTCCCTAAAGGGAAGGGAACTGGCATTTGTTTTTTTCCTAAGTTCATAGCAAACCTTTGAAAGATTCCATAAACAACAAGCTAAAGGAAAAGGATAAACATAGCTAAAGAAGAAATCAACGTTCCTTTTGGATTTGTGAACCCTTAGAACCTAAGGGGTGAATTAAATAATTAAATATAAAATGTTGTTTGAAAGTAATTGAAAGAGAGATATGAGAGCAAACTTAATTTTTTCCCCCCCTTTTCAGCTTCCCTTTGCTACAAGTTGGGTAAGGGATGCTGGAAGAGAGACTTGACTTAGGTTATTTATAAGAAACATCCTAAGAACCACAGAAAGGCCATTGATTTTTAACTCTTTCAAATTTCATTAAATAGTTTTAGCTGACATGCTAAAAAGAAAGTGGAAGAAATAGCAAAATTAAGAAAGTATATGAGAGAGAAAGTGGTTTTACTTTCTCTCTTGCTGCTGCTTTTGATCCACAATCCCTGACAGATCTTCCTTTGTAGTGCCTCATTGCTATTCCTTGTGTGGCTGTAGGGTGTTTTCACTCATGTTTCATAGGCCTACTTGAATTTTTTTCAGACTACCTGGAGGGAAAAGTGTAGTATCTCTCCCTTGGCTTATCTTTATTTGGACCATATTATTTTATTTTCTCTCTTTATCAGGACTTTTAGCCTGAGGAAATATTGTCAGAAAACTTTCATATTCACTTGACAAATTAAAGATTTCAGTATCTTTCTTTCTCAAAAATCACCGTATGGATGAAACACATTTCAATAGTTGACTGACCAAAACAAAGTGAAGAAGAAATATAGTTGAGGCAACAGCGAGAAAGAGGTTTTGACAAGAGATGTGTTTCCTTATTTAATGAAGTTCCTACTATTTCTGTAGATTTATTTTTTCCTCAGAAGATTCTCCTTTCTTGCCCATTAATGCAGGAGTTATTAATCCCTACGATCACCTCGCTCCTACTGCTCACAAAATTCTTCAACAACGTTCATTGCCTTCTCTAACTCTTTGGTGGTTCTCAAACCCTATACCAAATAATGCAATGTTTGGAGACAGGATCAAATACAAGGGGACAATCTGTTCCTACTTGATCATCTCACACACTCTACTAGCTCTCCTCCAAAGGATTCATTAGCCTATTGTTATTTTGGAAAGTAGGAGAAAAAAATATATATCCTGCAAATCTACTCTTTGTTCTATCCTCTGAATTTCTTCCTTCATCTGTTTTCGTATGCTTTTTAATATTTTTTTAATTACTACTTTCTGACCACTATTCTGAACTTCAAAGTTAAAGTTTCTATTCATTTAGTTTGAGATCATCTCTTTCTTTCTTTCTTGTTTCCAGAACTCGATCTAAGACTGTATTCTATTTGTCCCATATGTCCTTCCACTCTTGTCCCAAGTTATCTTTTACTTTCTCTGTTAACTCAGAACTTCCAAGACTGTTTTTTTTTAAACCCCATTACTGTGAAATCTCTGAATCTCCAGTTTTCTTGACTGTCTAAAATGCCATTCCCTACATTTGCCTCTTCACCGTCTCTGCCACTACTTTTCACTCAGACAGAGGATTCTCTATGGGAGATTGGAGGCAGATGGTGATGGTGAAATAATTTGCAATTGTCCCCATTGGCATCTTCCTGGCATCCTAAACTCTAACTTCAAGTAGATAGAAACTCAAGTGCATTATGAGATGAACCATTATAGGTTTAGTTCTGAAAAGAGATTATGAGCAACCTTTTGGAACAAAGTTAATAAAAACTGCTAGTAGACAGTGAAGCCAAAAACAAAATGTAAATGATTGACATGATTATGTTCTATGTTATATAATGCACTTACTGTTTTTATTGAAAAAAATAGAATGAGAAATGTAAAACAAAGGAATATAAAAGAGGTTTTGCTCTTGCAGACATAAAAGAAAAAACCTATTTTTTTCTGTTTCAGAACAATATATTTATCTCTAATTGCAATAACATCTTTTTCAAATGTTATGATATCATTTTTAATAAAAAGTGAAGCAATTATAATTGCAAAATGTAAATAAAACATTTATTCTAATCATCTAAACAGATAAGTATGCAATTTTAAGATTCATTTTAATATAATAAGAACAGTACATTAGATATACAAGTGATATACACATCCTTGAATAAAATCTGCATATTTTAAAATAGCATTTTAAGTATTTACAATTGATATAATTTCTATTTGTAATTAAATAGGCTCTTTAAAATATCAACACTGGTAAAAGTGGCATAATCAAAAGGCCTTTCAGTTTGTTCGTTAACATAATCAGCTTGTAGAAATTTGAATTTGGAAGAAAAATATCACCTAAGTTAATCTGACATACATAGCATATCATGCACAGTATTTTACTGGAAACCATTGTATGATTATGAGTGGGCAAGCACTCAGGAAATATATGATTTAGGAATATATGATTAAGATATTTTATATATAAATGTGTTTATATAATGACGGTAGCATATTGAAACTAATTTTCATTTAAGTAGAGCTTAGAACTGGATGACTTTTATGACAATAATAATAAGGAATACCACATTTATATGTTCCTTGGCATGAGGCATTCTATCTCTTATATTAAATATTAATGATGATATGGGCATGTAACAGAGTATGACACAGCATAGTTGACTTTCTAGTAGTAGTAAGCTTTTCCCTCTGAGAAAAAGCCAGTGCTCAGTGGTTCCCCCCTGCTCATCTTTCTGTCCTGGTTTCTATCTCTGTCTCTCTCTCTCGCAGGAGGAAATGCTTCACTTCTTGGCAACCAGGTTGGAATTTCCCAGTAGGTATTTAATCAGGCATTTGTCTACTGTCATAACCTTGGACTGTTGAAGTTGGAAGGAGAGAGAATTTGCAGCAACATTCTTTTTTGTATTTTGGCTCTTTGTCAGGGTGATACTACCACAGCAATATGGTATGAACACAGCATAGTCATTGCTCTCATGGAGCTTACATTTAGTTAGTGAGGCTTCTGGTACTTAAACAGGCAACAGCAATGCAATATGCTAAATACAATGGAGAGAAGAATTGTGTGATAGGAGAAGACATATAAGAGGCATCTAACCCGGGTTTGAAGGTGGGGTTCAGGGGTCAAGTTTGACTTCCTAGAGTTACAAAAGCAAAACCGAACAAAATTATATAAAATATTGAAATAATCAAAATGCAAAAGCAAGGAGTCATTCTGTTTCATCTGTCCATTTGTTTATTTACCTGTTTTTCTAGTTTCAACCTGTGCCACGGTTGAGTTCCGCTGTGTGGATGGGACTTGCATTCCAAGATCAGCACGATGCAACCAGAACATAGATTGTGCAGATGCTTCAGATGAAAAGAATTGCAGTAAGATATTCCACTACCTTTTGTCTGTTTATGCTTGGGAACTTTTGGCATTGCATTAAACACTGTGCAGGATTTTACTGAAATTTGTCCAAAATTGGTTTGTAATTAACCCCTGTTGTGTAAGATAATTACATATCTATTTCCTCAAATGAAGTTAACTTTTCTCATCTCTATGACCTACGTAGAAGGCTCATAATCTTTGCAAATGAGGTATTTTTTCATTTTTTGTTTACTTTCTTCTAGATAACACAGACTGCACACATTTCTATAAACTTGGAGTGAAAACTACAGGGTTCATAAGATGTAATTCTACCTCACTCTGTGTTCTGCCAACCTGGATATGCGATGGCTCTAATGACTGTGGAGACTATTCAGATGAATTAAAGTGCCCAGGTAATACTGGATTTTATAAAAACACAGGCTTTGCCTTGAAGATTTAGAGGCTACCTAGTTTTATAGAGTAAATTTGTTAAATTTTCATTCTTAATATTCAATTATTGACATTAAAATATAAATGATACAGACTAAAATTGTATCAATTGTAATTGACCTGTTTTAATCATACAACTTGATCTTTTTAAGTGAGTTAAAAATGATGCCCAAGAAACCATCCTAAATTTAGATAATTTTTTATGTTAAGTTTATTAGTAATCCTTTCAAAATTAAGTCTTTCAAATGTATAATTTATAATTCTTCAACAGAACTCTTACATTCCTAGAAATAGCTTCATAAAAGAAGATAAGCAATGTTTCTTACTACTGCCTTTGCTCAGTATTATTGTACAGCAATGTTTTAATGGAATTTACAAAATCCTTTGGCATAGTAGTTTGAGTAATTAATAGTTACAATCATTATTGAAACAAGTTAAGTTAGGTTTATTTATATCTGACTGTTAACCATCTTTACCTACATAGGCTCTGAAAACTGTCATCTACATTCTTAGAAAAATGCCTTCTAGCAAAGTTTTTGACTGTTTCTATCTGAGGACAATAAAAATTTTATAAAATTATAGAAAGAACTATGTATAACTGGAAGTAGAGATTCTATATAGGACACTATTAAATTTTGCATCCTACTGGGTTTACCTCTCCTCACTCCTGCTGCTACATTCACATTTTTCATGTTTAGTCGATATGTAATAATTTTAAAACTATTTTTAGAAAAATTTATTCATAAGCATTTTGCACAATAGTTTACACACACAACCTACTATGAAAATCTGATTTTTTATTAAACAATACATTTATTATTTCTCCATTTGTGATGGTTCATTTATCATGTATATCATATGATTGTTTCAATTTTTATTTTACTGTCAGAATGTACATGTGCAGGCTTGTTACTTGGGTATATTGCGTAACGCTGAGGTTTGGGCTTGTATTGATTCTGTCACCCGTTTAGTGAACATGATACCCAATAGAAAGCCCTTTGCCTCCTTCTTTTATCTCCCCTTTTGGAGTCCCCAGTATCTATTGTTCCCTCTTTACTTAGATGTGTACTCAATTGAAAAAAAGATGATGTGTACTCAGTGTTTAGCTCCCACTTATAACTAGAAACATGTGGTATTTGATTTTCTGTTCTTGCATTGATTTACTTAGGATAATGCCCTAGAGCTGCATTCATGTTGCTGGAAAAACATGATTTCATTTTTTATGAATGCATAGTATTCCATGGTATATATATATTCCATATATTCTTTATCCAGTCCACCACTGATAGACATCTACCTTAATGCAATATCTTTGCGATTGTCAATAGTGTTTCAACAAACATACAAATGCATGTATCTTATTTTCCTTTGAGTATGTGATGAGATTGGGTTAAATTGTACTTCTATTTTTAGTTTTTGAGAAATCTCCAAACTGCGTTTCACAGGAGCTGAACTAATGTACATTCCTACAAACAGCATATAAGTGTTTTTTTTTCTCCGCAACCTCGCCAACATCTTATTTTTTGACTTTTTAAACAAAAGATTCTGACTACTGTGAGATGGTATCTCATGGTTTTGATTTGCATTTCTCTGATGATTAGTGATATTGAGAACTTTTTTTATGTGTTGGCAACTTTTATGTCTTCTTTGAGAAGTGTCTGTTTCTATACTCTACCTACCTTTAATGGAGCTTTTTTTTTTTTTTTTTTTTTTTTGAGACGGAATTTCGCTCTTGTTACCCAGGCTGGAGTGCAATGGCGTGATCTCGGCTCACCGCAACCTCTGCCTCCTGGGTTCAGGCAATTCTCCTGCCTCAGCCTCCCGAGTAGCTGGGACCACAGACACGCACCACCATGCCCAGCTAATTTTTTTTTTTTTTTTTTTTTTTTTTTTTTTTTTTTTGTATATTTAGTAGAGACGCGGTTTCACCATGTTGACCAGGATGGTCTCGATTTCTTGACCCCGTGATCCACCCGCCTTGGCTTCCCAAAGTGCTGGGGTTACAGGCTTGAGCCACCGCGCCCGGCTGGAGCTTTTTTTAAAAAAATTTCTAATTGATTTATTTAAATTTCTTATAGATTCTGGATATTTGTCCTTTGCCAGATGCATAGTTGGAAAATATTTTCTCCCATTATGTAGGGTACCTGTTTGTTCCTTGATAGTTTCTTTTGCTCTGCAGAAGCTCTTTAGTTTAATGAAGTTCCGCTTATCAACCTTTGTTTTTGTTGCAATTGCTTTGGAGGACTTAGTCATAAATTCTTTTCCTAGGACTATGTACAGAAAAGTATTTCCTGGGATTTCCTCTAGTATTTTTATAGTTTGAGATCTTACATTTAAATCTTCAAACTTCTTTGACTTGATTTTTGTGTATGGTAAGAGGTAGAAGCCCAGTTTCATTCTTTTGCATACGGTAAGTGGTATTGTGTTTTTGATTTAGACCTCAGCTTGAACATTATTGGTGTATAGAAATGTTACTGATTTTTATACACTGATTTCTATCCTGAAACTTTACTGAACTTGTTCATGAGAGCTAGGGGCCTTTTTGCAGAGTCTTGAGATATATGTTTATAATGTCAGTGAAGAGAAATAGTTTGATTTCCTACTTTTCCATTTGCATGCCTTTTATTTCTTTCTCTAGCCTTATTGCTCTGGCTAAGATTTCCTGTACTTCGTTGAAAAGGAGTGGTGAGAGTGAGCTTCTTTGTCTTCTTCCATTTCTCAGGCAGAATGATTCCAGCTTTTGCATCTTCCTTGTGAGGTTGGTTTTGGGTTTGTCATAGATGGCTCCTTTTATTCTCTCCATGCCTAGTTTGTCGAGGATTTTTATCATGAAAGGATATTGGATTTTATTGAATGCTTTTTCTGAATCTATTGAGATGATCATATGGGTTTTGTTCTTAATTGTGTTTATGTAGTGAATCATACCTATTGATTTGCGTATGTTGCACCAACCTGACATCTCAGGAATAAAGCCTTCTTGCTCATTTTGAATTAACTTTTTGAAGTGCCACTGGATTTGGTTTGCTAGTATTCTGTCAAAGACTTTTGTGTCTATGTTCATTAGGGATACTGGTCTGGAGTTTTGCTGTTGTTGTTGTATGTCTTTGTCAGATTTTTGTATCGGGATGATCCTGACATTATAGAATGAGGTAGGGAGAAATCACACTCCTTGATTGTTTGGCACAGTTTCAGCAGGACTGGTACCAGCTCTTCTTTGCACATCTGGTAGAATTTGGCTGTGAATACATCTGCTCTAGGGCTTTTTTTTATTTGTACATTTTTAAAATTACTGATTCAATTTTAGAACTCATTGATCTATTCATGTTTTTAATGCCTTCCTTATTCAAGTTTGGGAGGTTGTGCCTTTTCAGAAATTGATTCATTTTCTCTAGGTTTTATGTGTGTGCATACAGGTGTTCATAATAGTTTCTGATGATTTTTTGAATTTCTGTGGGATCAGCTGTAATATTACTTTTGTCATTTCTCATTGTGCTTATTTCAATCTTCTCTGTTTTTTGTTAATCTAGCAAGCAGTCCACCTATCTTTAAAAAAAAAAAAAAGCAGGGGGTGGGGAGTTGGGAAGAGATAGCATGGGGAGAAATGCCAGATATAGGTGATGGGGAGGAAGGCAGCACATCACACTGCCATGTGTGTACCTATGCAACAATCATGCATGTTCTTCACAGGTACCCCAAAACCTAAAATGCAATAAAAAAAGCAATGTTTCATTTCATTGATCCTTGTATGGTTTTGGGGGGTCTCATTTTATTTTGTTCTTCTCTGCTTTTAGTTTTTTTCTTCTCTTAGCTTTGGGATTAGTTTTTTGTTTTCCTGGTTCCTTGAGGTGTAGTCAGATTGTTAATTTGAGATCTTTTATATTTTTGACATAGACATTTAGTACTATAAACCTTGCTTTTAATACTGCTTTTGCAGCATCTCAGAGGTTTTCGTATGTTGTGTCTCTGTTTTCATTTATTTCAAATAATCATTAGTTTTCTGCTTCAATTTCATTGTTTACCCAAAATTCATTCAGGAGCAAGTTGTTTAGTTTACATGTTGAGTGGTTTTGAATATTCCTCTGGTTATTGATTTCTATTTTTTCTATTTTTATTTCACTGAGGCCTGAGAGTTTGTTTGGTATTTTTTTAATTTTCTTAAAATTTATTGAGACTCACTTTATGACCATATATGTGGTTAATCATAGAGTATGTTTTGTGAGCAAATAAGAGGAATGTATATGCTACAGTTGTCTCGAGTGTTTTTTGGATGTCTATTAAGTCCAATTGATCAAATGTTGAATTACGTTCAAAATTTACTGGTAAGTTTTCCACCTCATTGACCTAATGCTGTCAATGGGATATTGAATTCCCCTACTATTAATGTGTAGCTAAGTTGTTTTGTAGGCCCTGAAATACTAGTTTTATGAATCTAGCTGGTCTTCTTTGTTTTTTTCTACTGTTGTTGCTTTAATTTTTGTTTTATCTGATACAATAATAGCAAATACTGCTCTTTTTTTGTTTTTCCTTTGTGTGATAGATCTTTCTCCACCCTTTTCTTTGAACCTATGGGTGTCATTACATGTCAGATAGGTCTTCTGAAGATGGCAGAAGGATAGGTATTGCTTTTTTTTATCCAGTTTACTACTTTGTTTTTTAAGGCCATTTGCATTCAGGGTTCATATTGGTATGTGATATTTTGTTCTTGCTGTAGTGTTGTTAGCTAAGTGATTTTGAAGTGTCATTTGTATAGTTGCTATATAAGGTTTGTGGGCCATGTACTTATGTGTACATTTGTGGTAGTATCATTCTTTTATTTACATTCTGAGAACTCCCTTTAGCGTCTTTTCTAGCGCTGATCTGGTGGTGACCTAGTCCCTTAACAATTGCTTGTCTGGGAAATACTTTATTTTTCCTTTGTTTATGAAGTTTAGTTTGATGGAATATAAAATTCTTAACTGGCATTTCTTTAAGAATGCTAAAAATGATCGCCATTCTAACTGGCATGAGATGGTATCTCAATGTAGTTTTGATTTGCATTTCTCTAATGACCAGTGATAATGAGCATTTTTTCTCTTTTTTTAATTGCATTTTAGGTTTTGGGATACATGTGCAGAACGTGCAAGACAGTTGCATAGGTACACACATGGCAGTGTGTTTTGCTTCCTTTCTCCCCTTCACCCACATTTGTCATTTTTCCCCAGGCTATCCCTCCCCATCTCCCCCCACCTGCCGCTGGCTCTCCCCTTTTCCCCCAATAGACATTTTTTCATATGTTTGTTGGCCTCATGTATTCTTCGAAGGCAGCAAATCATGCTGCCATGTGTGTACCTATGCAACAATCTTGCATGTTCTTCACATGTACCCCAAAACCTAAAATGCAATTTTAAAAAAAAGAATGCTAAAAAGAGGCCCCCAATCTCTTCCTGATTTTAAGATTTCTGCTGAGAAGTCTGTTATTAGTCTTCTGGGTTTCATTTTATAGCTGATGTAGCCCATTTCTGTAGCTGCCTTCAAACTTCTTTGGTGTTGATGTCGGATAGCTCAATGACCATGTGCCTTTGAGAATGATTGTCTTCTTCAGTATCTTGTAGGAGATCTCTGGATATCTTGAACCTGTGTGCTGATTTCTCTAGCAAGATTGGGGACATTTTCATGATCAAATGTGTTTTCTGAGTTGCATACTTTCTCCTCTTCTCTCTCATAGATCTTAAGTCACAGATTTTTATCACTTTTCATTTTCTAAAAGTCTTTTTTCTTTATTTAAAAAAATAATAACTTGAAGGACTAGTCTTCAAGCTTTGAAATTCTTTTTTCTGCTTGGTCTAGTCTATTGTTGAGTCTTTCAATTGCATTTTTAATTTCTGTGGTGAATTTTGTGTTGCCAGAAGTTCTATTTAGTTCTTTGTTAATGCTGCTGTGTTGTCTTTCAAATCCTGAATAATTTTTTCTGTTTTATTTGTCTTAGATTTCATTCTTCTCTTAGGTTTTGTTGAGTATTCTTGCTATCCATATCTTAAATTCTAGAGCATTTGACTGTAGCTCACAACAGGTCTTTAAAATAATTTTTTTAATTATATAAAAATTTAAAAGAAATATAGAAACTTACTACTTTTGACTTATGAAAGTGGTGCCAAGATTCTTAATCTCATTTTTGTTCACAACAACCCATTCTTTACCTTAGATAACTGTAGTTAATTTTGAAATTATTCTGAAGTCAGCATATGATAGATATTAATGAAACTAATATTTTATTTTTTGTGATCTCTATCTCTTTTTAGTATTAATAAGTTACCTGAAAATTAACTTTCAACACTAATAGAGAATCATAACTTTTATATTGGGTAAGAAGGAAAGGGACATGCATGCAGGCTTATGAAACAGGTGGACAGACAGGAAGCCAGCAATGGGTCAGTCTGAATACTTTAGGTTAGATCAGGAAGCATCTTAAACATGCTAAAACTTTTTGGTTTAATGCTGAATCCACTCAAAAAATATATTTTCATCTTAATTATATCTACAAAGTCAACATATAAAAAAAATGCATACAATTTTCATTACCTTAAAACAGTCGCAATAGGCCATTATAGAGTGATTGCATATATAGACTGGGATTTACTTCCTGCTTGCCTATAGAGCAGACAGTCTAAGATCATGTAAACCTGCAGGAGCAATGGAATAGATGACACCCTGTTAAAAGGTAAATATATGCCAGGCATGGTGGCTCACACCTGTAATCCCAGCACTTTGGGAGGCCGAGGTGGGTGGATTACGAGGTCAGGAGTTCAAGACTAACCTGACCATTATGGTGAAACCTGGTCTCTACTAAAAATACAGGGGGTGTGGGCCTGTAGTTCTAGCTATGGGAGGCTGAGGCAGGAGAATCGCTTGAACCCGGGAGGTGAAGGTTGCAGTGAGCCAAGATCTCGCCACTGCACTCCAACCAGGGTGACAAAGTGAGATTCTGTCTCAAAAAAAAAAGAAAGAAAAAGGTAAATGTAGTGTTCTATATTTTCTTTTGAAGGTTATAATAATGATAATATTCCATAATTTAAATTATACAATTTACAAAATAATTTTACATACAGGCACGTTTTATGATAATTCTGAAAGGTATAATAATTTTAGAGATGCCAGTATAACTTGTTTCTTCTTTCTTCAAATACACAGTAATTGTTTAACTCCTTTAAAGAATACTCAAAATACAGGGCTCTAGAAACACTAAATTCACACTTATCTGGAAAAGATACACCAATGTATTAAGTTTAATGTTTTGTGCTATGAATATGTAATTAAGAATATTTCGACCCAAACATTCTTTGGCCTTAGACTCACTCAATTTAGACTAATATTTATCTTTTTAACTTTATTTTATGTTTACTACATACCACTCTATTATAATTTGAATAGATTTTTCATTACTATACTTTTTCTGTTCTAGGACTCAATCCTGAATTTGATTTGATTATCTTGTCTCCTGGGTCTCTGTTCTGGGACAGTTTCTTAGTCCTTCCTTTATTTTCATAATGTTGACATTCTTTAAAGAAAATCTTGGCTATTTATAAGTTTAATTCTTTCAGTTCAAGAAGTATTAATGTTTTATCTTCCTATATTTCAGAAGTCTAATATTAATTTAAATTGTTTAACATTAACATTCTATATTTCATCACAGTTCAAAACAAACACAAATGTGAAGAAAATTATTTTGGTTGTCCTAGTGGAAGATGCATTTTAAATACCTGGATATGTGATGGTCAGAAAGATTGTGAGGATGGACTTGATGAATTCCATTGTGGTGAGACATCGTATTTTGCTTTAGTTTTGTTAACTTTACAATAATTTTATGTTAATATTCCCTTATATAGGGATTTCATACAAAATATTGTCAGCTGATTTTACCATTAATTTTTATTTTTATTAAATAATAAAAATGGTAAATATTAAAATAAAACAAAAGAGTTTATAAACCTTTTCTGTTTTTGTTGAGTAATTACTTCCATCAGTTTGTAATATAGGTATAATAAAGTTATACCTTTTCTTAATTTATTAACTTTAGGTGATACCTAGTGTATTTGTTTTCTGCTATAAAAAATAAGAATTTGCTGCGTGCAGTGGTTCACGCCTATAATCCCAGCACTTTGGGAGGCCAAGGCCGGTAGATCATGAGGTCAAGAGATCGAGACCATCCTGGTCAACACGGTAAAATCCCGTCTCTACTAAAAATACAAAAAAGAATTAGCTGGGCATGGTGGTGTATGCCTGTAGTCCCAGCTACTCGGGAGGCTAAGGTAGGAGAATTGCTTGAACCCAGGAGGTGGAGGTTGAGGTGAGCCGAGATCGTGCCATTGCACTTCAGCCTAGGTAACAAGAGTGAAACTCCATCTTAAAAAAAAATAAGGTTTTGACACATACTACTTATTATATTTCCTTTACCTGTTATTGGTATCTGCATGGGGGATTGGTTCTAACACCCTGTCGACACCAAAATCCATGGATGCTCAAGTTCCTTATATAAAGAAGTCTAGTATTTGCATATAACCAATGCACATCCTGTGGTACACTTTGAATAATCTCTTAATTACTTATAATACCTAATACAATGTAATTACTATGTGAATTGTTGTTTCATTGTATTGTCTTTATTTGTATTATATTTTATTCATGTATTGTTATTTGTTATTTAATTTTATTTTTTCTAATACTTCTGATCTGTGGTTTGTTGAATCCATGGATTTTAAACCCACAGATGTTGGGAGCTGACTGAATATTATTACTCTGCAGTTTTCTACTAATTATATGTATAGCTTTAAATTATGTGGATAAACTTCTATTTTTTTAAACTTTTGTCTTTCATCCTCTACATCCTAATTTCTGTGTGTATACACTTTATTTCACATTATATGGTCAAGGTAAGAAAGCATTTTTAGATTCATTTTCTAAAGTGTTTTGATTTTGTGATTTGCAACCCAAATAAATTTTCTATAGAAAAACAGAGTATATATTCACTATTTACATTTAACACAAATAACATACACTGGAGTGAGCAGAGTGGAAAAAAGGTTAAAAACGGATTTTCTGTAAAATGTCAATCTCTGCTAAAAGTAAATGTCATCATGAAATGTGAAGGTACATTTTGTTTGATTAAGATGCTATATATCTTTACATTAGAGCCATATTCTGAACAAGACTAGCTGGGAACTTCCAAAGTATTGTATGTGGATTCATAATTTCTGAACAGTGGCCACTATATAATCATATCTTCTTTAATTTAATTTTTTTCCAAATTTTAGTTTTCTAATGTTCTTTGTTTCACAGGTTATCTAATTAAGTATTTAACTAAAAATGTCAAGTTTTAAAATTGTTTATGAAATCAAAGGCAAAATTGCTATTTTTGTGAGAGTTTATATTTTGAACACTTTAATTTGGAAGGATTTTTAGTTTTGAATGTTTTCCAGTGATATTTATGCTGGGTAGAAGGGGAGACTGGGAATGGAGGAGAGCAATAACAAAATTGGTTTTGGAAATAAGTGGAATATGTTATTGTTATAAAAACATAATCTAATAATAAAAAAGCCAGCACTATGCCAATGAATTTAGGTATTATTAGTCAGGTATGACAAACTCAAGTGTTTCCAAGAAAGCAGAACAAAAATATCAGCATGCTTGCTAGGTACAAAACTGTCAGATAGTCTTCAAGCTATACCCTCCTTAGTCACACACCTTTAAAAACAAACATATCTTCTGGTCAGTCCACCATATTGTTGCCTTACTTAGGATGTAAGTTTTTTTCTCTGCTGGCTCAAAAATAGATTTAAAATTTAAAAGTGTGATTAGACTACATGAGAAATATTTATTTTGTATCTGTGCATTACACATTAAAAAAAAAAAAGACAAATATACCTGGAGTAGAGTGACCAGCATTAGAATTAGTTCAAAGGCAAGCCGTATTATAAGAATCGTGTAGAAGAAATAATGGTTGTGTAACCTGGAAACACAGAGGAAATATGCAAGCTGATACCAAAACTTTATAGAATTGTCATAGAAAAGAAGAATTTGCCTTCTTTTGTTATAGGATGGTTGATTATAACAGTGTCTAAAAATAATCTTTTCATTGTTGGATCTGTTGTAAGATGGCCTTAACCTATCTTTTTTCCTTTTGTTTGTTTTCTAGATTCTTCTTGCTCTTGGAATCAGTTTGCATGTTCTGCACAAAAATGTATTTCTAAGCATTGGATTTGTGATGGAGAGGATGATTGTGGGGATGGATTAGATGAAAACGATAGCATCTGTGGTGAGTTTTCTATTTCCTGTCCTCAATTAGTTTTTAAGCAATATATGTACTCTGTCATTTTAGAGCATACACAAAACTTGCTAATTTATTAAAATTAATATAAAATTTATGTATACATTTTTAGGTAGCTGTTTTTATTATTTTCATGGCAATCCATTATTCTATTATATTATACATAAAACCATTATTTAATATTGTTATTTTTCCTTACTAATGTCTCAGTAAATGTATTTGTACATTTTATTTTTAGTTTTAGTGACTTCTTTGAAACAAACACCAATGATTGAGATTACAGGGTCAAATAATGAAACATTTTTTTTTCATGATGCTTCCTATATGCCACCAAGTTACTTTCCAAAATTAGTATGCTAATTTATGCTGCCACAAGCCACACACGCTATTTACGTGCATATGTATGTGTTACAGTGATCTTGATTGCTGAATTGTTTCAAATAAGAAGTAAAGGAAGGTGGTTATTTTTATATGATATTAAAATAACCTTTAAAATTTAGCTTTATAGGATTAGAGATATTAGTGTCAAATAGCTGTATTTATCTACCATATGTCAACTTCAAGTCCAATGTAATTGCTTTTTTAATAATCACAAATATTTAACAAATAGTTTAAATAGAATTTCCTCATGGGTAAAAGAAAGATAAAAGCTAATTTTTTGAGATAGAGTCTCACTCTGTCCCCAGGTTGGAGTGCAGTGGTGTGATCTTGGCTCACTGCAACCTCCTCCTGAGTTCAAGTGATCCTCCTGTCTCAGACCCCAAGTAGCTGGGACTACTGATGTGCGCCACCATGCCCAGCTAATTTTTGTATTTTTAGTAGGGATGGGGTTTCACCATGTTTGCCAGAATGGTCTCAATCTCTTGACCTCATGATCTCCCTGCTTCGGCCTCCCAAAGTCCTGGGATTACAGGTGTGAGCCACTGTACCTGGCCCTAAATAATCTTTAAATTGTGTTATAACTGGCCAAGAATTTCACTAATTTGTGTAGATGTCTGTCCAATGATTGTCTATCCAATCTATTTCTAAATATGCATTTGTACCTGTAGCTATATATTTTTTAATTACATCAGCCTCTGGTGGCAGCAGTTATCATCCTCATTTTAGAAAGAGAAGGACCTAAGTCACTGAATAAAGTGTATGTATAGATTTTAATATACTTAATACCTCTTTTAAGTTTCAGGGGATGTGGTCTGCTATTTCTGTCACAAACATATAGTAAAATGTAGTATTTTATAGAATCTAAGCTAAACTGAAGTTCTCTGTAAATAATATGAAATTGGTGATATTCCTGAAAGCAGGCAATTTATTTTCTTGTATTTAAGTCACTCATCACTCAAAATCTACTTTTTATTTACACAGCTGAAACAATTTACAGTTATACAACAGAAAAATATAGAAAGATCACCAGCAAAAGTTGCGAAAGAAAAGAAGTCAGTAATCAATTAGACGATTGGCAGTCTGTTTTTCTCTGCTATTTTTTTTTTTATAATTTTAATAAAAGAATTACCTATTTATAGGCCGGGCGCGGTGGCTCACACCTATAATCCCAGCACTTTGGGAGGCCGAGGCAGGTGGATCACGAGGTCAAGAGATCGAGACCATCCTGGTCCACATGCTGAAACACTGTCTCTACTAAAAATACAAAAATTAGCTGGGCATGGTGGCATGCGCCTGTCGTCCCAGCTACTCAGGGGGCTGAGGCAGGAGAATTGCTTGAACCCAGAAGGCGGAGGTTGCGGTGAGCCGAGATTGTGCCATTGCACTCCAGCCTGTCAACAGAGGAAGACTCCGTCTCAAAAAAAAAAAAAAAAAAAAAAAGGAATTACCTATTTACAATAGAATGAACATGGTTTCAATCTCTAAAGTTATCTTGCTTTTGACTTTTGTGAAACTCTACACTAAATGACCCCATTGATAACTCTGTGCTTTCTGAGTTGACACTATAGGGACAAAGTCTCTAAAGTCATAGAGTCGAGTTCTCCCACATCTGCGTTTTCAAGCTGTGTGGTCATGAACAACTTTGTTTTATTCCTTATTTTGTTGATTCCTTGCCTATTAAATGGTTACAAAAATAGTTATCTATATACCTAGTGTGATCATCTAACATAACCCACGTACACTATATCCGAGGTTTTTCTGCTTTTATTTCTCCTGCCTCCTTTCGTTGTCAATGTATTGTCAGTGTTCTAATAATGCTTTTTAAACTAAAGACTAATAAGATAACAGACATGTTTACCTGCAAGCAAAATAAAATAGCTTATTTACTTTAATAATGAGCTGTATTTTATGTACTAACTACTATGTTTGTAACACATAAATAAAATATTGCTTTAGATCAAACATCAGTCAATGAACTGAACTTCATATTTCAGAACAGGAAAAGAACTTTATAAATAATTTATCTTGCTTGTTTTCAACCTTTGGTGTACAAAAGATCCTTCTCAGAAGTATGTTAAAAATTTAGTTTCCCAATTTTCAATTCCAAATATTCTCATGCAGGACACAAATACATTCTTTATTGATACTCACATAGTGATTCTGACTTGGAATATTGAGGATTCCATTTTGAAAAATATGGTCTATTTCCATCTTTTGAGAGATGAAAAAGAGAAACCCACAGAAATCAATGAATTTTCCTGAGGTCACTCAGCTAATTAACTATGAGAGAGGTATAAGCAGAATTCAGGTTCCAAAATATTAAATAGGATAGTGACTCTTATCAATCAAATATGATCTGAGTGGCTATGCAAGATGGTTCTAGTGGAATTCATCAGCTTGTCTTTCTTCTCCCTAGTGATTCTTTTTTCCTGAGGAAGGCAATATGTCTCCAGATGGCAGTGGCAACCATGGAATAAAGCCATAAATTTTTTCTTTGGCCCATTTTCTTCCCAATTGACTATGATGTTTTGGCATGTTCTTAACACAAAATCTGTTGAATACTATCAAGGGAGCCAGAAAATTAGCTACAAAGAGCCTTATGCCATTTTATAGCTGGAGATATTTTAGTAATTATCTAGTCATACCCATCATTTTAAAGATAGAGGAATTCAGACACTAGGCTTCACCACGGTCATACAGAATTAGATTTCTCTACTGTCAAATCAGGGCCCTTTCTTTTATGACTACCTTGAAAACAAATTAAAGTGATAATATGACAGTAGACAAGAAATTTTACATTCATCAAAACTTCCTTAAGGGGAAAAAATACAGTTAAAAACGTCTCAAGATAAAAAGTAAAAATATTTTAAAAATCATTGAATTGAAAATATAATAATAAAAAGGACACTTTACATTTTCATGGCAAGCTTAAAAAGGATAGATAAGGAGGAATAACATAAAAATATTTTCTGTAGAAAGAGAATTGTATTATAGAAAGTACTAAATACATACTGGTTAGCGAACAAAGTAAGTTTTAAATGGAAGAACATTTATTTAATATATTATTTTCTAATTTATTCTGGTATTACATGACATTTAAACCCCATTCTACAATATAGAGCCTCAATTAAATAAGCAAATCTAGATTAGTGGGGGGATTTGTCAACATTCACTCGTCATCCTTTCCTCCAGGATAAGGCATATGTCAAGGACAGGTATGATTATGTGGCAAAAGACCCCCAGAGGATTGTATTTTGATATCCCACTGCTGTCTATATTGAAAACATTACCTCAAAAAGCATTTTATGCTGTTAACAACTCTGGCTGGAAAGTAAGAAGATAAATGATAATCCAATTAAAGCACATTGGCTACTGCTTTTAATTGTTAGAAGCAAATATTTTCATCTAGTCATATACATTTTCTTTCTCAAGATATTAAACTATTTTCAATAATTCTGCAAATATGATTTTTAATATCTATTCTGGGCAACTTGGAGTCATAGGAAAGTAAAATTAAAAATATAAGATTTGGGGTCATGTTACTGATTCACTGAGATAGTTTTATAAACAAATAATACATTCAAAACATTCGTTGTAAATAACTGCACAGGAACTAGGAAAATATTATGAGGTAGGGTCATGTGACATAGAGCTACCCTGTGAGCATAAGGTAAATCAAAGAGAAACTCTTTGTATTTATAGTCCAAGTCAACAAGCATTTATTTTTTGAAAGACATTATCATGAAGCTAAAGAAACATTGCAATGATAGAGCAAAGGTAGATTCCAATTATTGTGCATGAAAAAACAAATGGAACACACATGCATTTATTATTTTCAGTACTACAAGATGGAGAGTAATAGTAATTATGTGAGTGCTTAAAAGATGGTGCATGGATGAATCTAGAAACCATCATTCTCAGCAAACTGACACGAGAACAGAAAATCAAACACCGCATGTACTCATAGGTGGTTGCTGAACAAAGAGAACAGATGGAGGCAGGGAGGGGAGCATCACACACTGGGGTCTGTTGGAGGCTGGCAAGGGAGGGTCAGCAGGTGGTGGGAAGGTTAGGGAGGGATAACATGGGGAGAAATGCCAAATACAGGTGATGGGAGGATGGAGACAGCAAACCACATTGCCATGTATGTACCTATGCAACAATCCCGTGTGATCTGCACATGTATGCCAGAACCTAAAGTACAATTAAAAAAAAAAAAAGATGGTGTCTAGGATTCAGAGGGTTCTGGAATCCCAGTTCAGCATGCAGAATCAGGTGCAACTTGTGACTTTCTGCAAGCTTTCCAACTTCTTCAAGCTTCAGCTTTCTTTTCTGTAAAATGATACTAATAATAGTTCTACTGATTGGGTTTATTGAAAGGATTAAATGAGTTAATATGTTAAGTGCTTAGCACATATTAAACAATAAAAATGGTATTATTTTAATTACTATTGTTTTTCTAGTTTCAGTTCTTTTAGAAATGTTATTTTAATGTGTTCACAATTCTGCGACATTTCCATACTTTGGCACATTTACAAGGATAAAATACATTATTTTCTTTCATGTACCTTTAAGAAATATAACATAATTAGGAAAGAATACATTCTTAGATTAAAAATGTGTGGACTGCTACAGGGGAAGAATGATGTTTAATGATTCTCAATAACTACGATTGCCTCCTTATAAGCAACAGTCTTCTGCTTCCCTACTTACTATAGAAAATGTAAATGGTAGACATTTTCCAGTGGACACCCAGTGGTCTTAATGTCATTATTTGTTTGAGTTTCAGGTGCCGTGACCTGTGCCGCTGATATGTTCAGCTGCCAGGGCTCTCATGCCTGTGTGCCCAGACATTGGCTTTGTGACGGTGAAAGGGACTGTCCAAATGGAAGCGATGAGCTTTCCACAGCAGGCTGCGGTATGAACACTGGCCAGGGCTGTATGTCAAAGAAAAGCGCTGCAGCATCCTTGGTCATTTGTTTTTGTAGTATTTGCCATATCACATTTCCCATTGCTTTTTCAACTCCTGGGCCCATAGGTAGTATTGGACTTAATCAGGTGGGATCTTGTTATCACAGTAGTTCTGCAACCTCTTTAACTGCTGTTCAGTGTTTCAAACATGCACAGCTGGATTACCCATTTTAAAACCATTTTGATGAACACAGATTTATCATTTTCACTTCTGAACTAATGTAACTGCACTTTATGTGTACGAGTGCAGTAGATTTGGTACTTTCTCTTTTGCGTCTTGCACCACCATCCCTCCTGAAGGCTTTTAGATTGTCTATTACAGAAACTCTGTGAATGACTTCTCTGATCCTAAATAACTACTGATCAGGAGGTCAGTAAACACCTATTAGTCCTATGGATAGGGTATTAACCCTTGGGTCATGTGAAAATAGTATGGATATAGCTGAATGAAGCTGAGGGATCAGAGGAGCACCTTTGGAGGTCAGACAATTTACTGAGTTTCTGACTCTGAGTCACCTCAGAAAATTTTCAGGGCATTACTCAACAGTAAAAATTTAGATAAATTCCTTTGCATGATCAGGAGGATGAAGGGAATGAATATTTGAATGCAGATCCCAAGGTCACATAGGGGATCTGTTCGGCTGAGCAATTCTTCAGTAATAATGTGGTGAACTCCACTTGTTAAAGTGAAATCTGCTAGTCATCTCTCCAATGGCCTGAGTTCAGATCTTTAAAGCACTGTATTTGAAGCCATAATGTGTGATTGTGTGTGTGTGTGTGTGTGTGTGTGTGTGTGTGTAGTTGTGTGTACGTGAGGAATAGTTAAAGCAGAAAAGAAAAAAGAAAACTTTGAGGCAGGCCTATTTGCACAGAAGTCATACTATTGTTGTAGAATAATTCACTTTGATCTTGAAACTGGTATGTGTGTCTGTAAAGGTCAATGGGGCCACTGAGGGCTACATAATAAAGGATTATGCATCAATTCAGGGATCCAGATGGTCCCAGTATGCTGTTGCTATTGTAGCAAGTTAACATTCTGGGAGGCATATTAACACTTTTGGACCACATGGGTACTATTAAGTAAATTCTGTTAAAATGCAGCAAATTGTACTCAAGTGATCTGAAAGTGTTAATGGCAAATAACTCACTGTTGCTCAGTGTTTTAAAGATTAATTCATATATTAGAATTGGTGTAATTCACCTGAGTTTTCCAAGCTGGTACACAGTTCAAAGTTAGAGGAGTTAGTAAAATCAGTTTTACTCTAATTACAACAGGCAATTGTTCATGCTACTTCTATGTGGCATCTATACAGTTTTTAAAAATATATTTGTTAAAAATAAATCATGTCTGATTACATTTAAAACACCCTTTTGTTTTACCTTTTCTGTGTCAATAATTTTTGAGATACAGGCAGAAATTCATTGGTTCATGAAACCTGGGGCAGTCTGGGGAAAGGGAGCTATAGGCAATATGAAAGAATAATCATGATACCCATACCTTAAATATTAAAGTGATGTCTATAAAATATACTATGTCAGTCACAAATAAATGTTATGTAAAATATTCTACTAATATGTAAAATACCATGAGAATGATTTCAAGAAGAGTAATGATATTATCTGAGTCTTGAAGGACAAAGAAAGAGAAAGGTGCTTCATGGAGAGAAAAGTGCTTATTAAGACGTGGAATGGGGAAATGGAAGGCACCTAAGTTTTTCAAGTACCCATTATATGTCAATTATAGTGATTGTTGCTGTCATTTACATTATTGAATTCCCACAATATTGTAGTGAACTGTTTTGAGTAATCGGTCAAAAATAATTGTTATATAAATAGGAGTTTAAAGAGCACCTAGACATTTGTTGAATACTTAAAATGAGCCGAATCTGCTTCACATACATTATCTAGTCCTTGTAAGAAATTTATCAGGTACATTTTATTATCCCCATTAAACAGATAAAGAAACAGATACACTAAACTGCTTCCTTAAGGATACAAATATAAAAGCCACAGCCACTTTCTGCAAAGCCTTTCTCTTTCCAATATTATACAATACCATATAGCAGATTTTTTGCTATTTGCAATACCCCAAACCTTGAGTCCTACCTAGTATTTACCTTTTAAATAAAAGCAAAGACTATTGAAAACCTTTAAATGAGTCTTGCAAGCCTCCTATGATTCTATACATATGGTATTAATTTTTTCTTTCTCTGTACTAGTTATTTTCTTTTAAATTTTTGCTTAAATGTTATTGATCATTTGGCTCAACCATTTTTCCACTTGTTGGAATACTTGCGGATCAGTATTCATAAAGGATCAATATTGCATTTCGTCTGTGTGGGACTTATGGCGAGGCTGATGACACCAAAGATCTGACTTTTACCTAATTCAATACCCCACTCTAGAAGTCACCAAAAAGTTTCGTTTTATTTTTTTAAAGACAATAACATTCTAAATCTTCTTAGTTTTTTTTTCACTTCCTTTATGAATATTAGCATTGTTCTTTATAGGTCTATTTTTCACAAGGAAGCAACATTGTTATTACTTTACCAACATTACTGTAGGTATAAGTAGAGAAAAAAAGTCCATCATATTATTAGCTGAGATTATTTTTTCTAACATAGGAACATTTGAATTCATCCTTCAGCAAATTTAAAATTGCTACATGGCTTGAAATTTCAGGGTCACTCTGGAATAGTTGAATTCATGAATACTAAATCCTTGAATTATGTGCATTTATATTCAGATATTCTAATATATATGTATATGCAATTATTAGTTTATCAGATGTATTGAATATTATGCAAAGTTTTCTTTTTCTCAGTAACTATGAATTATTGAATATGAGTTTATATAGTCCCCAGGCTCCTGATATGGGAGAAGATAACATATGTGCTCATCTAACTTTATTTTTTGTGATGTCTTTCTTAGCTCCCAATAATACATGTGATGAAAATGCTTTCATGTGCCATAATAAAGTATGCATTCCCAAGCAATTTGTTTGCGACCGTGATGACGACTGTGGAGATGGCTCTGATGAGTCACCACAGTGTGGTAAGTACATCTAAAACTTCATGAAGGAGATTCCTAGGCGAAGAGTCTTTTAAAATTAGTATGTAAATAAATAACTAATGGAAACACACAAACACACAGATTTCTTAGTGTCACCAGGAGCCAGTGAATTCAGTAATACACAATCACAGCACATATAACTTCTTTAAGCTCTAGTATAATTACATATTTATCATGCCTGTTTGTAATATATTTGCATCAGTAATATTAGAAAATGTTTATAAAAATGTCTTTGGGCCAGTTGCAGTGGCTCACGCCAGTAATCACCACACTTTGGGAAGCCAAGGCAGGTGGATCACCTGAAGTCATGGGTTTGAGACCAGCCGGACCAACACAGTCCATCTCTATTAAAAATACAAAAATTAGTCGGGCATGGTGGCGCATGTCTGTAATCCAGCTACTTGGGAGGCCTAGGCAGAATTGCTTGACTCCAGAAAGTGGAGGTTGCAGTGAACCAAGATCTCACCACTGCACTCCAGCCTGGGTGACAGAGTGAGGCTACATCTCAATCAATCAATCAATCAATCAATAAAATGTCTTTTGTTTGATGTAATTTGAAATACTTGAAATTTGAAGATAATATATGGCCGCTTGTTCAATGGTATAGCCAAGTCAAATATTTGAGTGAAAAAAAAAAGAATACAATTCAGAATTAGCAGAAAAACTGGATACTTAACATTTCTCTACCCTTTATCTTTTGGTACATTCAATGAATTGTTAAAATTAAATATTATTAACTTGAAATGATATTGCCCTTACATATATTTTTTCTACACATTATATGTAATATCAATACAACATAACTTTAATAATAAAAATCAGTATATTAAAAATGCTCAGTTGAAGTTGAAATCTTATGTGGACTTAGTGTTTTTATAAAATATCTGAATGCATAGACATGAATAAATATATGTAATGAAAAGCTGTGAACTTTATACCTGCTCACGGAAGGCAACAGATTTAGTGCCTCCCTTTGTCCTCCCTGTCCAGTGTCTATAGCCTTAGCCTTTGATTTGAATCTCATTAAAATTAGTGGATATCCATTTTTATGATTATTGCAACATTAAATCATACATTTGGTGTAATATTTTAAAGGCTACATTATAACACAAGATATATAAATCTGAAACAAAGTTATGATTGATTGAATATCTCTCCTCTGCTAGATATTATATTTGGTTGATACAGAGATGAAGGAGACAGAGAGGCCCCACTTGGAAAAAATCACAGCCCAATGGAAAAACTAGAAATTCAACATAACACAGTACTATAATAAGTCGAATAAGAACAAGAATCACAATGAGATCAAAGCTGAGAAGAATCATTCTTGAGAGAGACACTAAAGATAGAGGCTGAGAATATTAGTAATAGGAAATCCTATATAATGCTAGAGAGCATGGTGTGGTGGTTAATAGCATGAACTCTAGAGCCGGAGAGCCTGGGTTCAAGTCCTGGATCTTTCATTTACTAGCTTTATGACCTCGAAAAGGTCACTTCACGACCCTGGACCTCATTTTTGCATCTGTAAAATATGTTTAATAACGAGGCTTAAATATTAGGACTGTTCAGAGAATTAAATGAATTTATATTTGTAAAGTTCTTAGAGCAGTTTCAGGAACAGTACATTCTATATGTATTTACAAAGACTGTACATTTAGATGGTCGAGTAATAGAACTTAGTCTTCTGTGAGGTAAGTGGAAGTTTAAAAAGTTGAAGTTAGATATGAAAAAGGCTGACATACAGTGTTAGAGAATCTGTATTTAATTATTTTGTCTCTCAGAGGCCAGTGAACATTTTGAAACAAGAGAATGAAATGTTAGAGTCACAATTTTGTTTTAGAACCATATTTTTTCAGCAGAGTGGGAGAAATACTGCCATGGAGCAAAGGTGCCAAAGAGGGAAATAAAATAGTTAGGAGGTTATTGTGATAGTTCTGATGATTAATGACATGGTTTTGAACCAGGTTGAAAATGGTAGAATGGAAGGTACAGAATGGGTCAGACTTCATTTACAGTAGGAAATAGAGGATAAAAGGGAATTTCTAGCTTGGATGACTTGGTGCTGCTATTAACAAGTGTTAGAATGCAAGAGGTTAAGAGTCAATTTTGTTGATAAGATGTGAGATGTAATAAAGACTTTATTGTGGACCTTTGGAATATAAGGTTTTAATCAGACAATTACATAAAGCTATATAGTGAGTGTGTATGACTTAATTCTAGATCAGAATTACAATAAGGACAAGTAATAACTATTTTCTGCCCATCAGCCTAAAGGTGACATGAAAATAAAGACTGAAGATTGAAGTTAGGGCTGCACTGGCAACATTTTAGGGTGGAACAGGAGAGGACTTCATACAGAAGAAAAAGAAGGGAAGAGCAAGATCAAAGTTGGAAAGACGCCCAGGAAAGTAGACTGTGAATATTAAGTCAGGAAACTCTTTCTAAGGTAGTGTGGTCAGATGCATCAAATGCTACAAAAAGGTGAAGTAAATAGGAGGTCGAGATCCAGAACTTGTTACTTGGCACTTGCTGTTTGCTATCTCTAAGAGGAATTCCAGAAGATAGAGGTCACAGAAATGAAATGTTGATTCATCACAGATGAACTAGAGGCAAGTAAGTGGAAGCAAGATTGGGCAATGAAAGGATGAGAAATGTACAGATAAGAGGTACATAGATAGATTTTTATTGTTATTGGACTGGGTAAGACTTCAATGTATTTATTAAATGAGAAGAAGCTAGTGAAGGTGGAGAGAGAGGGGAGAAATACTAGGGAAACTGGGGCTATTTTAGACCTCTCTAGTTTAACAATTCTAATATAATAAGATTTTAAATTAAATATTAATTATTGAGTATATTTCTGTTGGAATTGTGTTTATTTGTTAAGCCATAAAAAAATCTTACCCCCCTCTTAAAACAGAACATTTACCAAGATTTATCAGAAAGTTCTACTAGGGATAACTATTTTAATTGTTGATAAACTTACATTCATTATAAAATATAATGAATATTGAAAATCAAATAAGTTGTACTTACAAATAGGCATAAATATGAACTTTAACAAATGATTTTTTCTATAATTTGAATAAAGTTTTTAGTGACTCGGAGAATCAATATACGAGATAGTTATAATAGTTTTTATGTGTATTGCTCTAAAATTGACTTTTAGATTTTTCTAATTTTAACAATTCAATTTCTTTACACTTTGAATGCTGCTTTCTAAACATAAACATGATATCAGAGCTTCTGAGAATTATCATTATAGCTCAGAATCAGTTTATGCATATGTTCTGGTATTATGGCTAACCAAAGAATGTCTGTTCCCAACTTGAGTTTTTGGACCATAGTCCTACTTCCAAACCACAAACAGCTCTTGCATCTATGACCACTGTTACAGAAATAAATGAGAAACATCTCTCATAGGAGATATGGATAATCCACATTAATCAGGTGAAGTGTACATCGAGAAGATGACATTGTGTTAGTATTTATTATGTAAATTAGTCAAATGTTTTTTCTCTGTCTCTAGGATACCGACAGTGTGGTACAGAAGAATTTAGATGTGCTGATGGGCGTTGTCTTCTAAATACTCAATGGCAGTGCGATGGAGACTTCGACTGCCCTGACCATTCTGATGAAGCACCTTTAAACCCAAAGTGTAAAAGTGCAGGTACAGAAGTATATACAATACCATGTTTATTCTAAAGTGTTTTCAATGGGAAAATTGTGATTTTTCTGTCTAGTATAGTATTCAATGAAAGAAAATGCAAATTACTAAGCATGTGATATTTCTAGTGGCACCATGTAGGAAACTAGTGGGAAGCTAGTTTTAGAAATTTAAGTCTGTGCCAAAAATATTAAAATTTGAGGCAATGGTCCTGCTGAATTCACCACCTGTCTTCCCCACTGCTAAAAATTTATTATTTCTTAATACATTATTTTATATGAGAATAATTTCATTTAGTTAACCTATTTGAAAATTCAAATGCAAAAAAGTTAAAATTTACTGAGAAGTGGTCTGTATTATTCATAATTAGGCAAAACGAAATAAATTGCATATCATTAGAGGGTACATATATAAATATATTAAAAACTTGTTCTATTTATCACTTCTCTATTCCAAATACAAAATATATAATCATATAGAATACAGTCAATAACTTTTTTTCTCATGGTCTTTACATGATAACAGGTTTTCTTTTAGCATGTATGATGATGAGTATTGTTTAAGTCATCCAGCTATTTTCCATAGCTGTATTTGGAAACAACTATTATTCACCACTGATGTCCATTTTATACCCTGACTTCAGAATGTCAATGTTATATTTCCAGAAACAAAAGAACTTAGGAATATCTACCTATTCTAAATTCTTAAATTTTAGTGACATAATTTCTCAGAGACCTGTGGCTTGAGGGAAAAGTCAAACTATCAGTATGCTTTTGAAGTCATTCTTCACAATATAGAGGAGGAAGAAATAGTTCATTAATTTTGCTATGGATGTTTATTTTGATAATTAATTCTCATGATCAAGCTAGATTTGCAATGTGTTGAACATGAAAGTACAGCTTGCCCTTGGTTCTCTGCACTTTATGTATAAAATATTATACTGAATATGTAAAACATTTTATATAGACATACATTTAGTATAATTTTTGACAGATAAGTTTATCATATTTGTGAATGCTTTCAACAATTGTAGTATAAAACAATGGCATGCCCTTTATGTTCCATTTGTTTTGTTTTTTTTCCAGAACAGTCATGCAACAGTTCATTTTTTATGTGCAAAAATGGCAGGTGCATTCCCAGTGGAGGTCTTTGCAACAATAAGGATGACTGTGGCGATGGTTCAGATGAGAGAAACTGCCATATAAATGAATGTTTGAGTAAGAAAGTCAGTGGCTGTTCTCAAGACTGTCAGGACCTTCCAATCAGTTATAAGGTAGGTACTCATCAAAAGTAGCAAATCATATGATACATTAAAATTTGAGATCAAGAAAACTATTTAATTCAATATAGAAGAAAAACTTAAAAGCCATCATAATATTAAAACTAATTAAATGGAGAGTGTCAATATAAGGATGCCATAATAGGTAGTGTGATATAAAAGTTGTGAGAATATAATTAAAAAGACAAAAATAAAATTAAAGAATTTTTCAACATATTAAGAACATAAAGGAAATGAGTAAGCCAGGGAAGACAGTGGTCAAGGACAACACTATGGTAATACCTTATAAATATGTATTTAACTCTTAAGTTTCCATTTCTTCCCTCATTCTCTCTTCAGTACATCTTTGAAGTAGAATGGGTTTATTTATTTACTACAGCACTGGAGAATACAATATTCTCCATATAAACAAGAATTTAAAAACCTAAAACATGAATTATTCGTACTTAGTATTAATGAACTAAAAATAAATCATGTGTAATATCCTAATTGCTTTTTGTAAATACCATTTTCCTGAGGAGGGTGATGTGCTCACAGAATTGATGGACAGAAATAGCTTCTAAGACCATCTCTGTTACAGTATATGGAATAGTGGACACAAACTAACAAGGTTGAAATGTAAAGTTGTGTATTAGGTTAAAATCAATTTTGTAAGTATGGTAAAACCCCATTAAGAGCAATTCCTTTGAAAATCAGTGTTTTTAATGCGGCAACAATTCTGTATGAATCTTCAATAGGACATAACTACTATAAACAACAGAGGCAGTCTAATGAAAATCAAGACCATTACAGCGGTTAGATTTTGTTCTACTGTGCTCTTCCTGGGAGGACTGTGCACATGTAAGGACATGACATTTTATCAAGAGAAACCATGATGAATTGGACTGTATCCAAATTTGTATCTTCGGAAACATTAGGCTGGATATATGGTCTCCAGTCTTGTTCTGAAGACTGGAGCACGTCGTCAGAAGTTCTGCATAGATCAAAGATAATTTGCTAACTGTATTCACATACTTTACATGAAGTACCATCATAGGGACTCTACTTAATCTGAGTTGTTTAAAAGGTTGGAATTAAGAATTGGAAAGCAGATTCTGTTCAATACAAAGAAGAAGTTTCTAACACTAGAACTCTTTATACTGGAATGAACCACCTCACACATCACCAATGAAAGTGTTTTTGCAGTTGCTAAAAGACTTTCTGTAAAGGATGGTAGAGAATTTGTGTATGGCAAAAATGTTGGGCCATTGTTCCTGCCAGCCCTAGCATGCTACAACAAGCCAATTCCGTCTAACAGTAAATTCAACTAAACAACTAATTTTCAGTTTTTAAGTTCTGCATTTCTAGTATTATTGACTTAGCTACATTGGTTAGTATTTTACTGTATGTCGACATAACATAAAAACCACAATAATCAAATCCTCCCTGCAAAAATTAGAGATAAAAGACTGAAACTTCACAAAAGTTATATATATTTTAAAAAAGGTTTTTAGACCCAATATTATATTAAGAAAAACTGGTTAAACTTATAAACTTAGAAGAAGAATTTATTCACAAACAATATATTACAAGCAGAAAGAAACAAAGCAAATGAGCCAGTACATCTTTTAATGAGATGAGCATGCATCAAATAATTAATTTTGGCAGTAACTATTTTAAAAACCAATGAAGCAGAAAAGAAATGTTATTGGTGACTGTGTACTATTAACATAGAAATGTTTCCTGAATACATCAGGGAATGTGTTTTAGAATTATCATAGGTAACTAATTAAAATTTTAAGTCATGGCATTATAAATAATTATTTGGTTCTATCATATATATAGTTATATTCCACATAATGACGGGTCAACATGCGCTGCTTATAGAGTGGTGGTCCTATAGAATTATAATACCTTCTTGTTACTGTACCTTTTCTAAACATATGGTGAGATATATTTAGAAACAAATACCATTGTGTTACAATTGCCTACTGCATTCAGTATAAATAACATGCTGTACAGGTTTGTAACCTAAGAACAACAGGATCTACCATATAACTTAGGTGCTTGATGGCCTATATCATTTAGGTTTGTGTAAATACGCTCTGTGATGTTCACACAATTACAAATCACCTAACAGAGCAATTCTCAGAACGTATTCCTGTCATTAATGGGTGCATGGCTCTGTGTGTGTGTGTGTGTGTGTGTGTGTGTGTGGATACGTGTTCTATGTGATACATTTCAAAGCAGATTTATTTGTGTTTATTCCAGGTGTATTTAATGTCTGTGATAAACTTGTTGGTAAATTCTGTGTGTGTGTGTGTGTGTGTGTGTGTGTGTGCGTGGATATGTGTTCTATGTGATACATTTCAAAGCAGATTTATTTGTGTTTATTCCATGTGTATTTAATGTCTGTGATAAACTTGTTGGTAAATTTCAAAATGTATAGAATATAAATTGTATACCTTGTGACATAACATCAAAATTAAGGTTTGATGTTATTTTAATTGCCTTCATATAAAAGTATTAGCACATAGCTATACCATATTTGGAAAGTGCTTTTGGTAGAAGACAATATCATCCAGAAAAACATGTTAAGTCATACTTTAAGTATCTTGAAAGATTCCTCACACATAAATAGTTATTTATTAATACTTTATAAATGCCCGTGTTTTTATTTTGTCTTCTCGAGAAGCCATAGAATGAAGTGATAATTCTGGTTAAAATAGACAAAAGTGTTTGATCCTTCACAAGGTGTGTGCATATGTTATCAGACAGAATTGCTATGATATTTTTAAATATATACACGTGTCAAAGCTAGTAAATAATATAAAACACCAATTGATAGAAATATGGCTTGTGCAAAAATTCAAGATGAGACCAGAATCATAAATAAAAAATTTAAGCAAAGGTTGAAACAAAATATTTTATGTATTATGTTTATGTTTATGTATGTGTATGTATATACACACATATATTTTGCATACAAATATTGGTTATATATATGTCAATTTGTTGATAGGAAACTGAATAAAAAGCTTTATGCACAACAAGTTGCTTCTACTACACTGGGAAAATATGTGAGCCGATAGATTTCTCTTTCCAGATAATGGGAAAAATATTCAGCAACCTACTTCTCCTTGTAATATAAGCAGAATGTGACAAGAAATCATCCTCCAAATTCTGCAATAAAATGAAAATTGCTTACAAAAGCAAAATTTAGAACTTACGGACTGTGGACAATTTGCATGTTTGCAGTAAAAGAAATACAATGTATCTAACTATTCAAAAGGGAGTAATAATATTTAACTTAAGCAAAAATCTTATTTTGATAGAAAGGATAATTTACCATGTAAAAATAAATGTACTTCTGGGAGAAAAAAAGTTATGATGTATACAGTAGAAAGAAAATGATTAATATTTGTCATGTCACTTGAAAAGCTGCAAAGAAATTTTCCTGAGAGAAATAGGAAAGAATTAGTTATTATTTTGTTAGCTATATTTTCTTATAAAAATTAATGTAACTCAGGAAAATTCTAAATAATTTGAAATGGTGAGAAATTTAAGATGAGGCTGAATACATGTAAGTCTCAGTTTCATAAAAGCTGTCTTTTTAAGTAAAAAAGAACATTCTAATCGTATTTTCTATAAAATATATTTGAAAATACAAACTATTATTATTTTCTTTCATTCAATTTGTGAAATCTAATCTGGTAGAATTTCCTACAGATGTCTTTTTATTATTTGAGAGAAAAAATGTTTCTATTAAAATAAGGTTAACAGATTGAGAAATAAATTATCTTTTTATAAATGTTCTTTCAAACAAAATGAAAAAATTCTAAAAATTTACTGTAAACCTTAAATATTGTTTATACAATTTTATATTAAAGTAACATTAATCAATTTTACCTTCATAAAATTAATTTTTAATTGTGTGTTTTTATCCAAGCCATCTGTTTGGTATAGTACTTGTAGAAGCCTGACACAAGGCATTCAAAATGATTTTCAGAAACACCATTAAAATGGTGAGGCACTTTGTTTCATTAGATAATGCTATTTTAGAGGAATTCTATACATTCTATAAAATTTTCTTTCATTTGTCCTATAGTGACTCTTGATTCAACACTGCTCTGTGTATACTAATCGAACCTCTGGCTTCCTGACTACACGATCACTTGACTTAATTTTTAAACCTGTTAATTACTAGCCTGTCAAATTTCTTATTTTCCTTTTTAAAAAATATTTATTTAAACAAATTTGAGTAAAAATATATAACATAAAATTCACCATTTTTACCATTTTTTTATATGTATAGTTAATGGTATTAAGTATGCCATTTTCTCTTAACTGCACCAATTCCTCCTGGCAGGATGGGTCTTCTCAAGAAAAGTAATATGCCAGTCAGTGGGATATAATGAATGAATTTGGAAAATCAAGTTGTGGCTTTTGCCTTCATTTTAACCCACTGGCTTGCTAAGTGGGTTCTAGAGATTTTAAAAGTCCATTATAATTTCTGGTCATTATTAGATAAATGTTGGTGTTAATTGTTACAGGTGAAAGTGCTAAGAGCTTAAAAAGTTTTATTTCTTGTAAACAGAATTGGGCAAATACTTATTTATCCTTTAATTACTTTCAGATGAAATTGATGTTACTTTGTTGCTTTTTCCCCCGTATTGAAAACCTTTCTTGTACTTAAAAAATAATTATACTCATAAATTGTTTGCTGATTATTTATTAATATGGACATATATCACTCTAATATCTTTATTAATAAGTTCAATACTCTGCTATCAGTTTTATCCTAGAATAAATGATCAATTTTATATAGATTTTGAAATATTTACTATGGAGAACTCTTGAATACTAGTTACTTTTAACAACTCTGAAATCCTTCTTAACTCACCATCCTACTAAATACTTACAATTTCCTTTTTTTGAAGACCACCAATCAGTCTTAATAAAGATTAGTATTGCCATAATCATCTAACCAAGAATAGGTTCATTTTCTGTAATAATAATTCTCATGTGCTACTTGGCAGGGACTGATAAAAGAACTAAATGACAATGACCAATCAAAGTACCTCATCCTTTATAAGAAGGCAAAAAAAAGTACATGTAGCATAATGTTTGTACCCTAAGAGTTGACATACCAGTTAGTTAATATGTGTCATTAGAAGGACAACTAGAACATGATAGAGATGCTGAGGGAGAGATTTGATGATACAAACTAATTTAGGTATTGAGATAAAAAATGACTGCATTAATATTACTGTTTCTTCAGACACCCACATATCTAGGTATGGAATCAAACACAGTCAATAAATGTTAATTGAGAATTACTATGCATTAAAATTTTCAGTGTGTCCAAGATCTTCTGCTGGCTTTATCTAAACAACTTCATCTTCATGCTATTGGATTTCTCATCAACTAACTAAGGATAATATTAGATTGGTACAAAAGCAGTTATAATTTTTGCCATTAAAGGTAATTTCAAAAGCTACAATTATTTTTGTACCAACCTCATAATGTCTACATTATAGATTTCTATACTGCTCAAATGAAATAACGTATGTGACAATGATAGAAATTTTCAAAACTCTGAGTAAGGATTAATTCTTATAATTGCTAAAATCTAAAAAGACAATGTAATGCAGCAGAAAAATAATAAAAGAAGTAGAAAGTTTCACTCTGTTTTTTGCTTTGCTAATCTCTAAACACATGACATAAGAAATGTCAATTAACTTTTGCAATCTTGCCAACTTTCAAAGATCAAATGAAGATATTTGGGAGAATGCTTTCTAACTAAATTTACATAATATACATAATTCCCATCAAAAATCAAATGCTGGGAGACAGAAAGACTTGCCTTTATCTATTTTCAAGTGCTTTTCTTGCTTAATACTAAAGAGATACCCAGTAGGAAAAGACAGTGACAATTATATGAATTGATTATGCTCGTTTTTCTTTTCCCAGTGCAAATGCTGGCCTGGATTTCAACTGAAGGATGATGGCAAAACATGTGTAGACATTGATGAATGCTCTTCAGGCTTTCCCTGTAGCCAGCAATGCATCAATACATATGGGACTTACAAGTGCCTCTGTACAGATGGGTATGAAATACAACCTGATAACCCAAATGGCTGCAAATCACTCTCAGGTATCGAATTGAACTTGCCCACTAATCCAACCTCAGTTGTACACATGGATCCTGATATTTATAGCCATTCTTATTGAATTCACTCCTCCTTTATGTTTCTGAAAAATCAAAATTCTTCTCTGTTTTCCTTGATATGGGAAACTGTCACTCTGATTTTGTATGCTGTTTGTAATAACATTGATTTATGGCCTTGTGAATTACTGAGTGTTTTCTAGATTTTGAGATACAAAGCAATAATATGATGATGACCGTGAAATGGGCAAAAAATGGTGACTAAGGGCATCTCCATTCCCCTTGTTTTTAAGTACAGTGAATCAAATATTATTGCCAGTTTCTTATGCAGATGTTCATAAGTAGCAACATTTAACACATTAGCTGTTTTCTCGACTACTTTAATAAAATAGCTATCAGGATGTTAATTTTAAAATATGTTTTTTAACTAGCTAAAACTTTACACATTATGGAGAAAAAAGGAAAAACTCCTTTCAGTTTTTCATTCAGCTGTCAGTTATTCATATCCTTCCCTGAATCACTTTGAGGACTATTGGGAGCCCATTGTTTAATCTACCAAACTACTTGCTTTGGTCCATCTTAATGCTTGCTACATAATGCATTTAGTGACCTAGGACAAAATGAAGATATTAAATCTTAAAATGGACAATGTTTTCATTACTTTAGAAATTAATCAAGGATTGTGTAGAGGAGAGGAATACTAATGATTAAAATATGGGTCTTGTTACATTGTGTATCCACACCATAGTTGTTTCTCATCAGCAATTATACTTAGAAACTAATAAAAATTTTAAATATAAAAATGTATTCTTAAAGCATTTATGCTTGTTAAAGCATAAATCTTGCACTTAAGACAAATTTTAAAAATGAAATATGTTTAAGTTGTAAAGAATAGAATTACCTAAGCAGTAAAGTAGAACATGACTGATTAAGTGTGTATTTATAGTGGAGAAATATATTGACAGAGTGGCAAGGCACCTTTAACTTGAGAGCCAATTCTGTGTTGAAAAGTATTCTGAGTCTCAATCTGGCCTCAAAAAGAAGCTGGAAATGACTAATTTGGGATACCATCAAGGATGATAGAAGAGGATATCTAACAAGAGTGACATAGTATATGTGGAAATGTGATGTCATACCTTTGGTATTACGTATTAATTTCAAAACTAAAAGACAAAGGGAGGAAAATAATGATTTCAAATAATTTTAAAATGACAATAACTCTAACAATAAATAATTTACAATAAAACCCACATTCAGTTATATGAAGTAATTACTAAGTGTATTTTTCTAATTTTTATCAACATTAAGTCTGTTCATTTGGCAAATAAGTTTATGAATGTGTCTTAGAAAAAAAGATGTTAAAATGTTTGAACACATTATTCATCAAATGGATCTAGGGTTATAACCACTGAAAATGTGGTCAAATTGACTTTGCATGACTTAGATATATATTTAAATAAACATAACAGAAAATATTTCTGAAATTATTTTCTTCAAGAAATCATTTTGTTTCCAAATAAATTCTGAAGAGAAAACCAAACACTAATGTTTTAGAGGATCTCCTGTGTATTGAACATGGTCAGCTCTTTATCATGCTCTGTCTTAGATTCTAAAACAAATAAGATACTAAAAGACATTGGACAAGCTGATAAGGAAAAAATAAGGACTATTAAAGCATTAAAAAACTAAGACTCGCGCCGGGCGCGGTGACTCACGCCTGTAATCCCAGCACTTTGGGGGGCCGTGGCAGGTTGATCACGAGGTCAGGAGATTGAGACCATCCTGGTCAACATGGTGAAACCCCGTCTCTACTAAAAATACAAAAAATTAGCTGGGCATGGTGGCGCGTGCCTGTAATCCCAGCTACTCAGGAGGCTGAGGCAGGAGAATTGCCTGAACCCAGGAGGCGGAGGTTGCGGTGAGCCCAGATCGCACCATTGCACTCCAGCCTGGGTAACAAGAGCGAAACTCCATCTCAAAAAAAAAAAAAAAAAAAAAAAAAAAAAACTAACAGTCATGGAGAAAGGTAAAATTAATAAACAAATATTTTAGAACTTGGAGTTCAGAAATTATTTAAGACAAGCTCTCAGGCAAGTAAAAGAGTGTACATATGCAATGATACTCTTGGTCTTCACTGGGGTCATCCTGAGAGCATTAGACAGTTGATTATCAAGAAAAAAATTTCTGATCAAAATAATGTTTTCACTGTATTGCAGGTTTCTCAGGCAGGTAAGATTATCTATTTCTGCAATTCATGTAGACAATTAGATTTTAACAGCAGATATTTTCCACTGATTCCAAATAAACTATCTGAATGTCAAGAATCAGGGTAAGTAAGGGATGCACTTAGAATTTTCTAGATTTTCTGTACTGCTTGCATGCGTGCAGCCTTTTCATTCTACTGCCAAGTAGGTTCCTCTGTATGATTGTTTAAACCCTGAACCTACCAGATCAGCACTGCATTTGAAATCACATTGCTACTAAACTAAACTGAAATTATGCAGATGGTAGAACCATAAATATTTAAAGCCTAATACGTTCTTTGTGTTGGTGTTTAGATGAAGAACCTTTTTTAATTCTTGCTGATCATCATGAGATAAGGAAAATTAGCACTGATGGCTCCAACTACACACTTTTAAAACAGGTATGACACTCCCAAGATGACTCCGTAACATTTAACATGGGTACTCTTAGTGTGTGTTAGAGCTGTAGAACTACCTAGCTATTAGAATATGTGAAGCATACTTTTAGTTGTCAGGAAAAATATTTTCTTTGAAAATATTTAGTTAGTATCTGTTTTGCTACAAATTTATTTGTGCAATTGACACAAATATATGAAAACACGATCTAGAACAAGGGTGCCAAAATTAAGGTTATTTCTCATTTTTCTAGTATGTTTATTCCAGTTTTAAGTATAAATAAAGAACACCATTCCCATAGTGTATTTTCAGCAACATAAGGAAGATTTACTTAACTAAAAATATTTTTGCTACTCATTGATAGATTCCTCCACTGCTTTTTATGAGAGTTTCATTCATTTTCTTCAGGATTTAGTCTTAAATGTAAATATCTACTAGCTAGTAGGATGTTGACCCATCCTGACAGAGTTGGATTTTTTAGTCTTCCTCTATGTCACAGGTTAAAAATAAGCATTTCAGATGAAAATCCAGATTCCTGGCTACTCAGGAAAAAAATGTTTAGTAATGCAGGGCTTACATTCTTGATTGGTCAAAATCCAAGCTGTGTAGCAGGTGCTACATCGATTTAGAGACTTGATCTCCATTTCACCAGTGTTTTCAGACTTTCCATGTGCTGAAGATGTGTACTCTTGCCTTATCCTGAATAGCCATGAGGTTTACACCCTTGCTCTGAGTATGGAGTGTGCCACCAACATCCACCATATTATACTGCTTCTTTCTTTAATTTTTGATCTTACAAGACTGAGCAAAATATAAAATGTTTGTATGTTGTTTATACAAAAATTAACAAAAATTTAATTAAAATAGAATGCACAACTATTTCTTTAAAAACATAAATAATATAAGAGCAATACTTAAGGAGAAAACATATATATGAAGTATACATAACTGCTTCAAGATGGAAAGTTTTTGCTGCCCCGTTTCCTACTTTATCTAACTTAGTTTAATATATTTTTCCTGTATTTTTAAACATTTTCTTGTGTTTTTAAACTTACATCAAAATTGTAAATCTAAAAAAGTTGTCGGCCGGGCACAGTGGCTCACGTCTATAAACCCAGCACTTTGGAGGGCTGAGGCGGGTGGATCACGAGGTCAAGAGATTGAGGCCATCCTGGTCAACAAGGTGAAACCCTGTCTCTACTAGAAATACAAAACATTTGCTGGGCTTGGTGGCGCATGCTTGTAGTGCCAGCTAATTGGGAGGCTGAGGCAGGAGAATTGCTTGAACCCAGGAGGCGGAGGTTGTGGTGAGCCGAGATCCTGCCATTGCACTCCAGCCTGGGTAACAAGAGTAAAACTCTGTCTCAAAAAAAGAAAAAAAAAAAAGTTGTCTTTTTTGGGATATAACTTCACACCCCTTCTAGTTTTTTCTATAAATTCAAAGTTAGGTGCATCAGCCACTTATTTTCTGGTATAGTCTCAGGAACAAGGACATGTTTATTTTTTTCACTAGCTTATTGTTTTATATATACATATATACATAGCATTCTGATCATTTAGAATCTATGTCAGTTTAAAAGAATAAAGTTCTCCCTTTAGAATACTCTTATTTTTAAGCTCAGCTGAACCATAAGTTTGACTAATATAGAACGATATTCGTTGTCTTCATGACAGAGCTATAATATAGCTTTGGTGATAGCTTCTTGCTTCATTTTCCAACCCTGTAGCTCAGGACATCTCTACCAGCATTCCTTTTGTTGTCTTTCACAGATAATGTGTTGTCAGAAATTGTTCTTAATGGAACAAAATGATTTTTTCCTCTATGCATCATTTAAGTCTATTTCACATAACAGAACCACTTTAATGCACACTTTAATACAGCTCTTTTCTCCTGGTGGTATCATTTTAGACTGTTGTCGGTCATTAGTACCTAAGTGGGGATGAGTGTCAGATGCTTTCTTAGTGCAGTACATATGGGTATAAAGAAGCAGTGAGGATGATGAAGATGCTTGTGAAGGATCTGAACACACCTGTGTATATGGGAAGCAATTGTTAATAGTGTCCATTGAATAAAGAAACAGAGACCCAAAGAACCCATGGAAAGCTTTCTGTCCAATTTTGCCTATGGGCTACTGGGAATATGTCATTTCTTTCAGGGAACATATTTTTACTCACAGTTTCATCACAGCATTACGGAAATTTTAAAGGAGTTCTAGACAGTAGAAACCATCATCTTTTTCCTGAAAGTCTGTCTACATATGCAAAATGAAACAGAACACAGAAGTAATTATCTCTGCGTATTTTCTCACAGCCAAAATAACTGAAAATACAATATCCTTGTCTTAACTATTTGGAACTTTTATATGTAGCTGATTAGGAAGAATGATTTATCCTAATATCACAAATTTTATTCTCTTTGTTGTAGTCAGTAACAATCTCATAATGTTTTATTGCATAAAATTATAACAACTGATGGAAATTGTTTTTGCCCTCTATATTCTACAACATAATTGTAGTAAGGTCAGCTATAACTTAAAGTGATATACTATATTTAGAACTGCACTTTAATGATGCACATTTTGGGAATGAAAATTAATCAAGTACCTTTCCAATATATTATCTAATTCAATTGGAACAGTGTCTTTATTCCAGTAAAATTGTGTACAGAAACAAAACAGAATTTCCTAAATTAATCATCTCCAACCAAAGGGTGCAAGTCTTTAGCTACGGAAATGAAATAAGCAAATCGGATTTTGATGAAACCAATTTTCGGCTCTGAAACTACTGGGATGACTCTAATTTTTAGACATGATTTTGACCATGCCCCTGGGTGTTTTAATGTTCCTTACATATGATTCTGCAAAGAGGCCATTGCACTGTTTTCTGTGGGGATTAAGGGTAAAGCTGTAGAAAAATGACCAGCTTGGCTAGATAGATATGTTAGAATTTACAGCTTCAATTTTTCTGCATTTGCACCGTTAATTTATTTTATTGACTTGCTAAATTTGGAATTGGATTTTTATTATCTAAATTGATTATTGTAAAGAAGGAATAGGATAATTCTGCCATGACTGGGGATTGTGGTTATATTTTTGCTAAAGTTAGAGACAAGTTTATCTCTACTTTTTCTCTGTAAATCTCTCTAACTTAGCCACCGGAATTGCCAAGCCATCACAGAATCCTAACCTATTTACATTATTGCTCTGGAGAGAAAAACAGTTTACAGAAAGGATATTGTAAACTACTATTGAAATGAATTTACTAAGTCCTCTACAAACTTGTCTGGAACACATTCAATTTATATATTAGAATTTTGTCTTATTTTGCATACTTCCTACATATATATGATTATGTGCATTTACTTAAGGAGTTCTCCAGTTATAAGAATGTAAATGGATATTTAATGAATCTTATGAATCTGTGACTGAATATTAGTTACCCTTTTTTAGCACTTAATAGTCATTATTCATGATTTATAGTGTTGTCAGTAGGAAAGGTACTTGCATTTATTTATCTTGGCTTAGCAAGGAATTTGCACTAATTCATGTTATTGCCTTGCGTCTCTTGTTTATAACCTATATGGCATGAAATTTTGTAGGGTTAGGTTATTGCAGGTTGTCATTATAATCTGGACCTCAAGAAAATGAGATTGCTCATTTTAAGCCAAATAAAAGCATAATATTTGAACCTATAATTTTAACACTATTATTACTAAAATGTAACCCTGCTGTGAGAAGGGAAAATAAGCAGTATTTGCCAGAACCTCCTCTTATTTGCTTCTATACATAGAACACCCTTAGTCTTGAATGTCCTTGAAAAAAATATCTGAAGAGTAATCATTAGCCTTGGTTTGAATCTTACAAAGAATGATTTAAATCTAAGTTAGTTTTATTATTATCATCAGATTCTGAATTTTGAGACTAGATGTTAAAACTAACCTGAGAATTACTTTCCTCTTTCTCCCTCCTCCCCTAAACCAAACCAACCAAACAAAAAAACCCGTCTCTCAGAAGATGCTATCTTTACCCATAGGACTACAACTACTCGTAAATTTCCCTCTAAAACAATTTTGAGACATAGCATCAACTTTATGGTGAATATTGATGTAAGCAAGCTCTCCATAGATATAAGAACATGGCAGAGATCCCTTGAGTCTTTGCGAAATGTCTATAGCATTATTTTCTAAACAATAGAATGTATATATTAATAAATTATTTAGGCCTTAAAGTAGTAAATATACAATCTTTAACAATAAGCGAGAATTAAACTAATTTTAATAATTCTACAGTTAAAAAGATTCCTAGATCCTGAATGTACAGTCCTCAAATCAAATCAAATGTCAGAACTGACAAACCAAAAGCCTGTAGCATCCAGAAACCATCAATTCAATTTGTGTTCTGTTTTGCTACCTGCTAAAAAATGTGTAACCGCGAGTCTGAGGGGAGGCATTTTCTTACATTTTCACTATGTGCAATAAAAACATGTTGATTACCCAGTTTCTCCTTGGTCAAATACGAAACCAAAGTTGTAGCTTTTAAATTCTGATATCACACTGTTTGCTAAGAGTCCATCTGAAGCATGAAGAAAGGCAACTCTTTTATATTGTTGTTGGAACAAGAGCTTTAGGGGAAAGTAAAATTTCTTTACCTTCTTTTCTGACTCATCAGATGAATCAGTCCAAGAATTACCTTAATGAGATGATCTACCTTTTCAATGTAGATGTATGCTCTTTTCAGGCTCCTCAATGGAGCACATTATAATGACATAAATTTTATATTTTATAGTAACCTAAAGTGGAAATTTTAAACTTCATCTCCTTAAAAGAAGTTATATTTGTTTTCATATTACTATTTATTTAAACCACTATAATTATTTTGAAATTCTGTGGCCTAGGTGGAAAATATTTTCAAATTAATTGTATCTTTTAAATGTATGATGTGGGGAAAATGTAAGCATATGATACTTTTAATAAGGATTGGTAGCAAACACTATTTATTATAATAAATAGAACTATTGAGGCTCAAAGGAAGTCAATGATTCTTGTAAACTCCTAAAATATTTTATACTGATTTGTATTAACTATTATTTACAACATAGTCTTTTTTATTTTTAGGGATTAAACAACGTTATTGCTATAGACTTTGATTACAGGGAAGAATTCATCTATTGGATTGATTCTAGCCGACCCAATGGCAGTCGCATAAATAGAATGTGTTTAAATGGAAGTGACATTAAGGTAACTAGATATTATAATGATGGGATTGTTGGATATTATATCAGTATTATTGAATTGTATAGAAAATGTTATTTTATGACAATGATATTACTCATAAAATGCATTAGGTTGGTTTCAATTTCACATTTGTACAGTGTGATTAATGCTTTAAATATGAAATACAAGACATTTTATTCTTATGTTTTATTATAATACTATTACTTACAATAACATAAACATCAAATTGAGTAAATAAAATCTGGAACCTTATTCACAACCCTAGGAAATGAGATGGGTGCTTTCAGCTTGAATGATTAGTGCCTGCAATTCAGTTGTGTTGATATAAATAAAAGATGAAGTTGAGCCTAAAAATTTGTAATCGAGAAAGTTAAGTGTTAGAGTGGATTGAAATTATGATACTGTTAAAATGAATCAATTAGAGATTTAAATAATTTAATGCATTTGTGTAAAATCATAAATGTTCTGATTGCAAAGTAGCACAATTCTCTCACAGTTCTCTCATGTGTACAACCCATGTCATGTTTTGGATATAAGCAACTTGGTGCCATTTTATGTTATTGTGAGTTTTAAAACCAAATTATCAATACTGTATATGTGCACTAAAACATATTAGAAAAAAGTTTTAAATTCAAGTGAATTAAATGCATCAATAACTTTTTGTAGTCATCTATAGTATCATACATAATTCGTTTTTGATGAAAGGAATCCATTCTGAAAATATTAATGAGATCTTAAAGTGCACATGTGCAATGATGAAACAAATAGTAAACTGAGTTCAACTGATTTAAAGTAATTTATTTAATAATCATTTATATAATAAAAAAATCAGTATATAATAATGATAGGCAGATTGATTCTAGCCAATACAATGGTTAGATAGAACAAGTAAACAGATGAGTTTTTGTTTTTTAATTTATTTTACAATTGATTTAAAAATGGGGAAAGTTACATTACTCAAATTTGATCATATATTTTATTACAATGCTTTTAAATTTTTAATTACCTTTACATTTTTCGAACATACTTTACTATTTTTGAAAGCATATTATCTACTGCCTTGCCACTGCTATTGCATTACTACATTAAATCATGTCTTTACATAAGGTTATATAAAGATAAAATACTTCTTTTTTCCCTTAAATTTATTGATTCACTGATTTTCATTTAAATAGCATGCCAATTTTCCAAATATGAAATGTGGTGTGTAAAAGAAAAATAGATGTCTTGCATTTCAGTATAGGCAATTAATATCATTTATTTTTACAAATTTGCATATTGTCACCTTTATTTGCATTTTTATTATTGATGGCATTAGGGAAGAAAGACAAATTGAAGATTTTATTGGCATTTTATTGTCTTTACATAACTATTGACTTCTCTATAGTTTCAAGTTTCAATTATTTCTTTCATATATTTCTAAAAGTACTGGAAATTCAGAAATGCCAGATAAAAAATTATTGGTCATCTTATACACATTGTATTTGTACATGCAAGGACTATATGTCATATTATATTTGGTATATTCATGGATTAAAATTGATAGCAGCGGAATGTGTTTATTGTTACTTCCCTTTGGCTAGGTTCAAAATAGTGCATATTCTCTTGGTGTTTTCTTCTTTCCTTGTAGTCATCCAACTAGGGCAAGAGCAGTTGGAAGAGTGATGAATTCTACTGCTATCTCTCCCAAACTGGTTAAGGAAAAATAATATCTCTAAATTTTTGTGTATGTTTGTGTGTGAGAATTTTTTTCCAAATTTTAAGAGGATGAATAGGTAACTCTAACAAAAATGTGATCAACAAATGTGCAGCTGTCCAACCACTTTTTAAAAATTTTAAAAATTTTAAAAACTGAAAGCATTTTAAAATTTAAACCTATATGTAATTTCTAGGGACCTAATTACACATTAGGTAATTTCTCACGAGTAAGTAATTGTACTGCAGTCAATTATTCTCTTCTTATCTTAGTTCAATTCCTCACATTTAAATGGAAATCTGTATCTCTGTAAACATCAAGAAGCAATTGCTCACTTCTTATTCTAGGGATTTACACTGTTAATTTTTTAAATTCTTATTTTGTAGGTAGTTCATAACACAGCGGTCCCCAATGCACTTGCTGTCGATTGGATTGGAAAAAACCTCTATTGGTCTGACACAGAAAAAAGGATCATTGAAGTATCCAAACTCAATGGCTTGTACCCTACTATACTTGTTAGCAAAAGGCTGAAGTTTCCCAGGGACTTGTCTTTAGATCCACAAGCTGGGTTCGTAACAACTATTTAAAAATCTTAAAGATAAAGACTGTGAATTACATTCATAGTGGTAAATCTAGTTCTATAAGTCATAAACATGAAAATCCAACCTAACTTGTAAACCTAACTAGAAAGTTGCTTTATATGTTATGTTTTAAGAAATAATGGCCAGATGTACTAAATTTGGTCATTGTCTCTATTAATTCTTAATTATGTGAATATTTCAATTTTTTTGATATATATCAGAAAATATTTATTTTTGATTGCTGGGTATGGTGGTTCATACCTGTAATCCCAGAACTTTGGGCAGCCGAGGTGGGTGGATCACTTGAGGCCAGAAGTTCAAGACCAGCCTGACCAACATGGTGAAAACCCATCTCTACTAAAAATACAAAAACAAGCCAGGCATGGTGGCATGCACCTGTAATCCCAACCATATGGGAGACTGAGGCATGTGAATCGCTTGAGCCCAGATGAAGAGGTTGCAGTAAGTCAATATCATGCCACTGCATTCCAGTCTGGGCAACAGAGTGAGACTGTGTCTCCAAAAATACGTATTACATGTAAATAACAATATGTATATTTAAGCGTGCTAACAATTTTTTTTCTTCACAATCAATATGGCTGGTTTAGCTTCTCATTTTATACTAATCAAGATGCTTCACTTTCTAATGAAAAAAACATTACCTGTTTGATAATAGCAGTCTGTGGACTTTTCTATTTATGAAGCAAAAACTGTGTCTTATTCTGGTGAATGCAGCTGAATCTATTAATAGCTTTAAGTTTTATTTCTCCCAGGTTACAGTTATTACTCCATAAACTGAAAGCATTCTTAAGTTATCATCAACATAAACCCATCCATTAAAAGTGTCAATTAAAATAGCAAAGTGCAAAATTATTATAGATACTATAAAAGACTTTCTTGATTTCATTTTTGGATATTTTCAACAAGAAGAACAGTCTCTCTAGGGAAAGAACAGACACACAAAAGAGGTGGCACATCCAACAAATTACAAGAAACGTATGCAGTTAGAATAGATTAAGCATATGTACCAGTTCACTTTAAAGAGTGAAGGACATCTAGGAATAATTCAGGAAAGAAACACAATGAAAACAAATAAGAAACATTACAAGGCTTCTGTCTTGGGCTAACAGGTAAATGGAAGAATGGTCCCCAGAATAGGGGAACACAGGAAAAGAGAAAATACAAGACAGGGAAAGATCAATTTGTAGATCTCTTGGGATTGGAAGTTCCCAAATAACAATAATAATAATAATAATAATCAATGAATATGGCTACCATTTCTAGCATTTTATGAGTTTGGAAACTTTCTCAGTTTATCTCTTGAGATGCACGTACTGTTTATCCAGAGTCTCTGAGAAACAGAATTATTTGTATTATTTTTCTTATATTTTAGATAGGCACATTTAGCCTCGAACTGTCTAAGTGACTTTCTTAGAATCGTTTAGGTGATAAAATATTACCCTGGGAATTTAATTCCGTTTTCAGGCTTTAGTCCCAGATTTTTCCTATTACATCATGTCAGAGTTTTCAGTAAGAAAATAATCACGGATCATAAACATGTTTTGCAAAAGCCATCTGAAAAATCTGAAAAAGAGATAAAGGGAAAAAAGAACCCCAAATCCTATAGTTCCTTCCATTTTAACAATTATCTTTTTTAAAAGATTAAAAATTAGGATAGGTCAGGTCTGGGTGCAGTGGCTTACGCCTGTAATCCCAGCACTTAGGGAGGCCAAGGCAGGCAGATCATATGAGGTCAGGAGTTGGAGACCAGCCTGGCCAACATAGTGAAACCCTATCTCTGGTAATAATACAAAATTAGCCAGCTGTGGTGATGCAGGCCTATAATCCTAACTACCTGGGAGGCTGGGACATAAGAATCACATGAATTCAGGAGGTGGAGGTTGCAGTGAGCCCAGATTGTGCCACTACACTCCAGCCTAGGTGACAGAGTAAGACTCTGTCTCAAAATAAAATAATATTAGTATAGGTGATAAAAGTTTTTTAGAGGTGAAAAAAGCTGCCTAAGTTGTTACAAGGATGCCTACTTTAAAAGGCATATTTTCATTTATTCTCCTTTACTAATAGTCTGACAATAGTCCATTAGAGGCCAGGCACAGTGGTCCACACCTGTAATGCCAGCACTTTGGGAGGCCAAGGAGGGCGAATCACCTGAGATTGGGAGTTCAGGACCAGCCTAACCAACAAGGTGTAACCCTGTCTCTACTAAAAATAAAAAAGGTTAGCAGGGCAAGGTGACACAGGCTTGTAATCTCAGCTACTCAAGAGGCTGAGGCGGGAGAATTACTTGAACTGGGGAGGTGGAGGTTGCAGTGAGCCAAGAGTGCGTCACTTTACTCCAGCCTGGGCAGCAGAGTGAGACTCTGTCTCACAAAAGAAAAAATAAAAAAAAAGGCTGTTATGAAATCCACAAGGAAATAGTAGGTCCTATTTTGAATTGAAATACATATTAATGAAAATATATGAAAGATACTCAGTATTTGTATCCATTATTACCAATATGGATAATGATAATGCAAATAAATTTAGAAAGACACATTTTACTCTTCTGTGTCCTAATATTTTAGAATGCCCTTTGGCTTTTTCTATAGTTGGAATAATTACCAATTTTACCAAGACCATCAGAAATATTACTTCCTCTCTAAAACATTTTCAAATTGTGTCTAAGTGGTCACCACATGTCGAGCATTTATCATTATATGCCTGTTTTTAGTTGAAATCTCTTTCTCTCTATCTGGAAAGCAACTTTCTTGAGTACCAAGGTCATGTCTTAATTAATTTTTGTGCCTAACACAGAGACAGTTAAATTCACTGTTGAAGAAAAATAATAAATGAGTAACTAGATGTACACAGAGAATAAGGTTATAGCTACAGAGACTTGGGCCTGCACCTATGCACAAACCAATACATTCGTATGATAATAACCTGCATGTTTCAAAGAGAAGAGTCATAAGGGAACTTTTGTTGTGATGGAATGAAAGGCAGACCAAGATGAAAATTCAGTTTCTGATTTCTGTGGAGGAACATAGAAATATTTCATTAAACTATACATTCACATAAGAAAAAGTTTTTTTAACCAGTTTTTTAAATCTATCCAAACAGCTCATTTCAGCATTCTCATATTCAGGCAAAACACACAGGGAAAGAATATAAATGATTAATTTTATAATCCAAAGTCAGAAATAATTGCAGGTGGAAGGAATAAATTTCTTCAAATTTAACACTTGAATTCAGGAAAAAATAGTGAAAGCTGAGAAAGACTTCTATTTAATCAACTTTATAGAAATACAATGTATAATATTAAACCATAAAAGACATTCTCAGAATCACAGAGGCCTATTGATATGGTACAAGCAGACATTGTTTTCTGTGTTTATACTTCATTATATCTTCTTACAGAATAAGTACTATTTGGGGTTGAAATTTTACATATGTGATTAGGGTAAACATTGCATATTATCTGGGTGCAATTTAGAACTTTTGACATTTTTACTGTAGTTATCATTTTCAGCTTTAATTATTTATAATAAAATTTTACATAGGTAATTTTTAAAGGTTTCATTTCAGAAGTTAAACTTACCTTTATGTTTAGCACAGTCTTATTGACAAATTTGAAAAAAATATATAGCAATGGGGCATAAGTATGCAAAGAAAATGATATTTAGCCATCAGAAGTTAGCTACCTCGTACTGAGAGACAAAATAAGTCCTGTATTTATGAAGGCTCATGCTTACCTGAGTACAGTTGAACAACACTTTCCTTCAGTGCAGTAGAGTATTTTCATAATATTCTTCTGGTTGATGAGTACTTTTAAATAGACAAATCACATAATAACTTACATAAAATCAAGGCAAATCATGTCCAAATATACATACAATCCAGATGCAATAGATAGTTTAGTAGGAGAATTTTTACCAAACTAAAAATATATTAATATGCATATTTCATATTTAAGTCAGATAAAATAATAATAGCTAATATTGCTGAACACTTATTGCTACATACTTATCAATGTTCTAAGTTTGTTTCACATATTCTCTGATTTAAAACTCACAGTGACCCTTTGAGAAGAAACTGTAATTGTTTCTTTTGGACAGAAGGCAATCCAAGCTCAGGGAGGCTAATTAAAGCTCCTAGGTTCACATAACTAGTAATGAGAAGACCTGGGATCTGAGCCCATGTAATCTGTTTTTAGGGTTTTTTTTTTTTGCTTAAAATACTATATAGTGCTTGGTTAGAAGAGGAGCAGGTCTACAAATTTAGAAACCTGAGTCCTTGTTCCAAGTTTCCCCATCATAATAAACAAAAGACATAACCTTTTACATTCTCAGTTATCACTTTGTTTATCCGTGAAAACTTTAAGCTATATGATCTTCAATATTCTCAATAACAGAATTAAAATCCTCAATTAAGTTATACTTTATCCTAAAATCTGAAAGAAGTGAAACTTCATTTTTCTCAAGAAATTTATAAGGCGGTTATGAAAATAAGTTGTTTTTTTCCATAGAAGTATTTGTAAGCACAACAGTTTTTCATGCCTTCCTCCAACTAAGTAAAATTATCATTCACTTTTTCATACTTCCATAGTAAAATAATTTCAAAAGTGAAAATATGAGACTATAATGAAAAACTCTGGTTAAAGCTAAATTTCACACAATTCAGTAGTGGGGAATAATTTAGAGAAGTATATTTGGACCCAGTAAGAGAGAGCTTTCATTTGAGGGAGAGAATTTCAGTTCTGGAACTCTTACCAGACTTATTGAGAATGATGTAACAAATGCTGGACTTCATGAAATACTATGCTTTTTTTTCTTCCTGTTGTCTTTGTTTACGATGATGGTAAGATTACCAGATGAAAAATTACAAATTACAAAGGAAAATTTAAAATTTCAATTACATGGAAGTTAGACCATTTGAAATTTGTAGTTTACTTAATAATTTAAGAAACATTATTATTCACATCCAATATTTTACAACACTTTTATTGATAGAATCATCATATTTATGATCAAATTTAATGGAGAAAACCTCTTTTCACTTTTCGAATATTGAAATTGCAAGTACGATTACATATTTGAGTAGCTAACTAGAACTGTGAAGATGCTCTCTAATTACACCAATTTAGATTTGTTATTTTTTATGTTACAGAAGTCATTGAAATATTACTTTTAAATTATTATTTTCTTATATGGAATTCTTAAAAATAAAACATGGCATATAGAAGCACAAATAAATTTAATCATATTTAACATGTGAGAGAAGCTGGAATAAATATATTACATTTTAGAGAAACATAAAATTAATATATTAGTGTTCCTGAGATTTAAGGTCAGAAAGGCAAAAAGAACTGTTCTGATTCATTTCAACAAGGTAAACCATCTTTTTATTTTTAATTCTTTCGGATTTAGTTTCTTCCTTTGTATCTCCTCTGTCATTATCCCTAGTATAGACAAGGTACTTCTCCGTAAATTTAGTATAAATGAATGAATTGTATGTTTTCCTGGAAGATGTATTTCACTGACTTGTGTTCACTTTACAAAAGAAAAATATACCAAAAATAATTCAAGATTTTAAAAAGCATAGCATCATTTTTTGAGGGGGCTTAGGATCTATTATTACTTGATAATTTGAGATTTTCAAAGTATGTTTATAGCTAATATGTATAAACACTGGGTAGGAATTCCAGTATCGCCCTATGTGAACTTGACTTGGTACTTCCAGACCCAAGTTTATTTTACATTTTGACATTCAGAGCTCTTTGAAAGTCTGTTCATAACATTCCACCTTTTGTTTAGGTTTTATCAGAAATATATTTCTTCTTTTTTAAACACCATACTTCGTTAGAACTTCAATGATAGTTTGACTATCAAATAACTTTTGTATTATTTTTATAAGCAGTACTTTTATGCATACCAAGAAAATGATTGTCAAAACACAAAAAATGTGTGTGTTCTTTACAATTATTATTTATGCTGGCTTTGTATTTGGTAAGTGGGTTTTCCTGAAAATGCTTTCCTTTTTAGTATGTGGTTAAAATATCTGAACATAATTGTGTCTGTCAGAATTTATGAAAAAAAATTCTTTAAAGAATGTTTTAGATTTAAATTGAATGTACCAGTTTTAAACCATATAAAATATTTTCAAACTAAATTATTTTAATGCAAATCATCTAAATCTGAAGAACGAATTCCTAAATATTATAACTGGCAAAAAGAATGAAATATAGAAAAATCTACTTGTGTTACTAGATTTCAATTTCAGAGTTAGAATGTGAAAATAACATTAAAGATTCTCTAACTAAAATCTTTAATTATTCAGACAAGGCAACATCTAAAACATAAAGTAATTATTCTTACTTTGAGAGAAAAACAAACAAATGATCCAATTAAAAAGAGAAAAATGGCTAAGTAATCTGCTGCTTACATATTATTTGTATTTTATAAGGTATAATATTTATACTGAACTCAACCTAATTATAGTGTCAACATTACTTACTGCATTTACTGCTTTTTTCCTATTTTGCCTGAAATGTCCTATCTAGAACTTCTAATAATGTAATGTAATTCACTACTCTTCAGTAGAACTTTCTGTGATAATGAAAATATTCTCTATTTATGCTGTTAGAAATGATGGCCAGTAGACATACACATAGTTATTGAGCACTTGAAATGTGACTCGTCTGCCAGAGGAGCAATCTAGTTCATTTTATTTTATTTTAATTAGTTGAAACTTAAACAGTCATAATTAGTAGTTACCAAATTTAACAATGTATATTCAAGAAAATAAAATGTTTACTTCTACAATTTCTTTTGAATTTTTCATAGACAACAAACCAGGAGAAAAGGACATATATAGTGATAATTGTATTCCTTCAACATTGATATGTACCTTTTGATAGTGTCCATAAATCAGTTTTGAATGTCTATAATTGGTTAACACTTAAGACAATATTATATTATGTTATATTATTGTTATGTCCATGAGTTTGTGTACTAAAATAAGCATATCTTTAAAGTTACATGAGTATTTCAAATCATACCAGCTGTTTAATAAAACATCATGAGAAATTTTGCATCAAAGAATGTTTCTTAAAAGCTGCAATTCAGAGAAATGGCAAGAATTAATGTGGGAAGAGTTGAGCAAAAAGCAATATATTGTGTGATGTTTTGTTTCTAGAGAATCTGTAAACAAAATGATTATTGATTTTTTTTTCTAGGTATTTGTATTGGATTGACTGCTGTGAATATCCTCATATTGGCCGTGTTGGAATGGATGGAACCAATCAGAGTGTTGTCATAGAAACCAAGATTTCTCGACCTATGGCACTAACAATAGATTATGTTAACCATAGACTCTACTGGGCCGATGAAAATCATATTGAATTTAGCAACATGGATGGCTCTCATAGACACAAAGGTTGGTCTAGTAGCAAAAATATTTTAGTATTTTACCAGGTCATAAAATATTAATTAAAAAAATGTATTTATGTTATATGCTTTCTCTCAACAAACACATTTAAGATTACATTATTATACTCTTTTATGAAAGTATTGGTAAATTAGAACTAGATATATTTATTAAAAAATTATATGTTATGCACAAAATATTTTTTACTATCAATGTTTTCTTTAATTGTATTTTTCTAAATAGATTTTCTAGTAAGTGGGCAGTAGTTTTATACATTAATAGTCACATGTATCCCAATTGAATTGAACTAGAAGATTATTTGCTTGTAAATATGAGGCTATTATTGCAATCTGCTAGAATTTTAATTTTCTTAAAACACTGCATAAAAGTATAGTTCTATAAGTTTCCAATTAAGCTAAATACATGATTAAAGGTATTACTACCTAATCACAGCAGCAACAAAAGTTAACATGCAAAATAGTAACAGACAAGGATATAACAGAGGAGATGTCATGTGTAGATAAACATGACATGGATAGAGCAGAAGCTGCAAATGACTCAAATTAACCATCAAAGTGTTGTAGCTAAAGGTAGCTTTTTAAAAATTAGATTTTTTTCTGAATCAGAAATAAATGTTTAATGATTTTCACTAACCTAATGTCACCTTTGCTATCAGGGGTTTTCATTTCCAAACATCACTTAAAGTTTTCAAAGAGAGGTCCCAAATAAAGTCTATATGTTAATATGGTTTAGCTTATCAGATTGCTTCCTTCTCTGGCATTAGGCTTAAGAAAAAAATCCCTGGAGGAGGGAAGGACCAGAAAGGATAAGGAAGAGTGGATTATTGTTAATCAATAAGTAATACTCTGCAAATGTGTTCCAGTGTGGAATGAAGCAATGAGTTTAAAAGGAAAAAAGAAAGAAAGTAAAAGGCACTAAAGTTACACCACTTAATAATTTTACCCATGTCCCTGTCAGTTGATGTTTAAACGAATACGTCTTTACATCCTTCTAACTAGTAAAGTTGATAGAAGTTTTTAGAGGCGCTTTCATAAGGGTAAGAACAGTGCAGTGCAAAGAGTGTAGTTGGATGAGTCACTTAGGTGTTGACATTCCAATTATGGAGATTAAAAAACTCACCAGGTTGCAATTTAAGTGAAAAATTATTTAAAGAACACTTTAGGATTTTAATTACAGCAAAAGGAATGTTGACAGATCAAAATCACAGTTACCATTAAGAAGTTATATCTCCCCCAAAGAATCAATAATGAAATGTCCTGCCTCATTCTTGGGTTGCATAGCTGAAAGTTTTATTGTGACAATTAATATTTTTCCTATGTAACCATAAACCTGTTCATTTTTAGCCTCCATACAAAGTGCTAGGTGATTGTATATGTATTACTTTGCTCTAAAATGTCATCGTAAAACAAAATTTATGTATATTTTGATTAGGTAGGTGACTAATATTCGAAACACTGCAGCATTAAATATTTGCCTTTCGTTTGTATCTTTGAAGTTTGAATAATTAAAATTATTTTTAAAATATTAGATCTATGGCCGGGTGCGGTGGCTCAACCCTATAATCCCAGCACTTTGGGAGGCCAAGGCGGGTGGATCATGAGGTCAAGAGATCAAGACCATCCTGGTCCACATGGTGAAACCCCGTCTCTACTAAAAATACAAAAAATTAGCTGGGCACGGTGGCGCGTGCCTGCAATCCCAGCTACTCAGGAGGCTGAGGCAGGAGAATTGCCCGAACCCAGGAGGCAGAGGTTGCAATGAGCCGAGATCGCGCCATTGCATCAGCCTGGGTAACAAGAGCAAAACTCCGTCCCAAAAAATATATATATATATATATTAGATCTATTAGAAACTACTGACTTTATCTCGTACTTATTGAAAAATGATGTCATTTATGTAGTGACTAATGTTTGATAACCTTAATACAAAATTAAGTGCACGTTAAAATGTTAGTTATAGTACTGGTGGTGACTTTGGATAGAGGGACATGTATAATACGTAGAAATGGTATTAAATTTATTAAATAGTAAAATATTTGGCTGAAAGTCTTGTATGATGTTATTAAAAATTTTAAACTTGATTTTGAAAATGCATCGAAACTCAAATGGGAAGAAAAGTAGAGTTGCAGCCTTCAGAATACTTTCTCCTGACGGGTTTCTCAGAAAGACTAATGAAAAATTCATTAAGTGCCTTATCAGGCATCTGCCAATATCTGAGCGCAGGCCAATAATTACCTGGTAGTTACTAATGAGGTACTAATTGGAGCCAGCCTGAATTATGCCAACTCTACCAACAGTGAAAGAAAGAGCCATTAATTTGCCATGTTTGTAAAGAGGAATTGATTTATTCTACTTGCATTTGCCCCATAAAGACAAATAATGCTATGGGTTCCTAGTTGTTTATTTGTAGGTGGAAAATGAGAGATTTACATCGATAACTTTTGTGTTACTTCATCACTAGCCACTTTTTTTAAAACCAGACCAATATTATTTTTCTCATTTATTTTATTTCTTAACACTGAAACCAGACTAGAAAGATGAGTCATGCCTGTCTTGACAAAGTAATTTGAGAACATAAAAAATGTATGAGGTATTTCAGAGCTACAGCCCTTTTCCATAAGCCAAATTTTAGAAAAGTTAGCCCTTGGACTTTGTGGTTTAAAAGTTGTTTTTTCCCCCCAAAGATATTTCAGTTTGTACCACAGAGTAACTTTATAAATGAACCATTATTTTATTATTATTTGTCTAGTCCAAGAATATCTGAGGTTTCTAAAAATTCTGTGACTTAAACAGAAGTTCAGATTATCATCTCTAGGGTACATGTGCCCTACGATTTACTCGAGAACTTCTATTTCTCTTCCTTTACTCCCTCTCCCTGATCTACCCAAATTCATCCTCCTTCCAAATCCACATTGAAAACTTGAACAAAAAAATCCAAAATACATCAGTCAATTTACTAGTTTAGGAAACTTCAGATGCATTCTTAGTCACATGAAGCTCTCCCTAGTCTTTATCTTTCTATATCAGTCTACTATTTTTTGCTATAATAACATAATATATTATATAATATTAATAGTATAATACAGTAAAAGACATGGTACTAAGTCAGTGTATTTTAAGTTACATCTTCATTAGTTTCTTTTATTAGTTGCTTTGATTTCTTCCTTTTAACTATGCCCATTCATTCATTTAATATTTACTGACCTTTCTGTGCCATGCACTATGCTAGGCTCTGGTGTTGTAAATATGAATAAGTCTCTGCCTTCAGAGAATAATTCAATGGGCAAAATAAATATTCAGGTAAAAACATAGATTGGGGTAAGAAGTATTTGCAAAATATTCCAAAAATGCAGGCAGGAGTAATGAAGACTACTAAAGTGGGAAGTTCTTTGAGCAGTTTGAAAGATTTGGTAAAAGCTCCCCGTATAGGGAAAATGTAAGAATGATTCTTCACACAGAGGGAACAGCATGTGCAAAGATGTAATACAGTCTTGAAACAGCATGGGGTTTACTCAATTTGGCTATGACTGGAAGTCATATAAGAAGGAGATAATGACACTAGATGAACAAGGGCAAATTGGGGCCAGATTGTCGCAAGCCTGGCATGCTAAGTAATTTGGAATTTATCCTTAGGTCACAGGGAGCTATTGATGGTGTTTAGTTGATGGAATGCTGTTATTAGATTTGACAACAGCATGTAAAATGAAAGACCCTGGAAGGGCAACCAATTTAGAGACTGTTAAAATATTTTAGGAGAAAATGTTTGAAGTGATTATAGCTGTAGGAATGGAGACACAGTGTTAGATTCAATAGTTATGTAGTAGATAAAATTGGAGATCTCTGTAAGCTTAAAAAATAGCAAAAATACTGGTAGTGGCATTATAAATATTAAGTAAATAATTTATATTGTTATTGAATTAGCTAGGGGAAAAGAATTCCAGTATTTGGTGACTAATTAGTTTTGCATAGTTTTGTACATTTTTAAAAGAATTAATGGTGCCAACCTAAGCCTAACTTAGACATTCAGAATCTCTATGTTGTGATGCTCTACTTTGGTGAGAGATGCACTAATTTTAACATCAAAAGTGCTATTCTAAATGTGATTAAACATTCTATATTATGTCTTTTCCTAAAAGACATTTCAGAATACCTGATAATTTAACTAGAATAAGGATTGCAAGTAAGTGACACTCTTTCCTCCTACTCTCTTTTGAGACATGGAATACGTCCAGTGAGAAACTTGGCAATTTGAGGATGTTCTCCAGGTAGAAATATTTGGTTTTTAAATACGTTGTTAGATTGATCCTAATATATAAATAAAAATATTCTTCTCGTAGGTCCCTATATTTGGGATTGATCTCTTAAAATTCCCAAACTGTAACCCTTCTAGGATAATTTTAGGCTTTGAGGATTTTAGATAAGAAGTAATACACCTTTGCTGGAGTACTGATCTTTAAGTGAAAGGATCTCAAACTGGAAAATGCAAACCTTTAAGAACTTAGAAGAATTCTTGTAACCTCAAGGATCTGGGTCCGGTTGAAATGGGATCTACTGCTAACTAGCTTATTCACCCTGAACAGTGTAGTTAAATTCCCTGGGATTCAGTTGCCTTATTTGTAGAAACAACGTGTTGAAATCTGTGACATGAAAGGGAAGTACAGATCTAAAATTTCAAGCCTCCAGTTATATGGATCAATTAACACTTTCAGAATCCTCGCCACTTCTCCACATTTTAATCTCAAATGTATCGTCCTTAATTTAAGCCTAAGAGAGGGAGTTTGGAAATCTGTAATAATCAATTGCTTTCTCATTCAACTTTGATGAAAATATCAAATTGCCAAAACAATCCCCATTCAGAGTCTTATCATAAAGGTTATTAACATATTTTAAAGTTGAACACTTGTGAACTGATTACATTAATGATGGACGAGAAAACCTAGACTCTTGAGGATTACCTTGTACTGTATGTTTTACACATACTATTTATTT